AAAGATTTATTTATTTATTCATACAGAACTGGGGTACAGGCCAGAGACGCAGAGGGTGAGAAGATTCACCAGGGACAGAGCGGGGAGCAGAACAGGCAGACCGACAAAGTACACTGTTGAGGGGAGCAGCTGGCGGGTCAGGAGAGGTCTGCCACGCCATGTGGATCTCCTCCGGAGCAGGCGGGAATCAAACACATGCGGAAGTGGCTTAAGCTTCTTAGTGCAGTGCTTTAACCCGCTGCACCACTAGGGACGGCCCGATACCGTCTTCTTTTTTAATCCCCAATTCTCACCACATTTCTTCTGTTCTTTGCTTCTATAACTTCTATCATTGAAATGTTGGAATGACTAAATTCATTCTTCATATCTCTTTCTTCATGTCTCTTAATTTTCCTTTTGTCTGTTTTCTGACTCTAGAATTCCTCAATATTCTTGGTCGATTTATGCAACATCTTGTCCTCTCCCCCACTTTTTATTTTTAAACATTGTAGGATCTTCGATGGATTTTAAAGTGGATGTGTGTATTTAGATTTCCTTCTTGGTTCAACTTCCCTGATTATCTTTTGGGGTTTGTCTGGTTCTTTCAATTAGGTTGCACAATTTAAGGTAAAAATCTTTAAATTGTATGTTATATACCTCTTAAACTACTGTTTCTGCTGTTTTTTTTTGTAATTTCCATTTTATTTGGTTTTCAATGACTTTATACTCGGACTCCTTCCACCTATAAAAAATAATTCCAAGTTATTTCCCTATAAGCATTCTCTATAGTTTCCTGCCCTTTATATTCAGTGGCATTCGGAATATTCTTCCCTCATTCAAGAAGCCCACTTGCCCCCAACCCTCTTTCTCTCCTCCTGGACCCCCAAATTGCATTTAGTTCTACAACGATTTTCAGCAAGCATCAGAACAGCCTGTAATTTGCCCCATATATAGACCTAGACCTACTGGATCAGAATCTCTGGGGATCAGATATGGACATCTCCCCCTCCCACGACCCCCACCCATTAAGTAAGTTCCACAGGTGATTCTAAGCACACCCAGATTAAGACCTCGCAGCTCCTCCTCTTCCGGGCTGCCCCACTTTAGGCCAGCGGCCCTCTTCCCCTGCCGTAGGGGGCGGTTAGAGAGGTTTTCGCCTTAGGTCCACCTCTCATCTTCCAACAACGTCGGAGTAGGTAGGTAGGTAGGTAGGTGCCGGCGAGCCCCAAGAGCTGCGCCGCTTCGGAGCCTGACCCAGCGGCCCGTGATGTGAGTGCACTTGAGAGTGGCCAGCCTGGCCCAACCGTCTCACCCGCCACGCTTCGCTTCCGCAGTCCGCCCAGAGCACCCCATCGGCCCTGAGGCACCGTGCGCAGGCGCCTGCGTCGCCTAGCACCTGCTTCTCCTGCGCAACTCTCCAGGAGCGTCCTTGACCCTCCGGCACAGCAACGGCAGAGCCCTGGGGCTGCTTGGGTGAGGGTGGGAAAGCCCGGACGGCCTGAGAAAGGGTGGTGCCCCTGCTCTGCTCCCCTGTGCCTGGGATGCCTCTCTGGCCTCGGTTAGTGGGCAGCTCCAGGGCTGTGAGAGACGTTGGGGGGCAGAGCAATGGGAACGTCTTTCCCCTTAACACCCACACCCGGGCAACGTGGGAGGAGTCAGGCAAAGATGTGGTTGACTTATGGTAGGAGGACTCGAGAAGTTCTGCACTTTGATTTGGGAGGGAAAAAAACTGTGAGAGCACCCCTCCTTGGTTGGGAAAGGTGGTACTACTCCCTCTGTCTTACTCTCTATCTTGATTCTGAAAGAGGCAGATTCTGTCTGACAGGAAGTTTGCAGCATAGAATAAGGTCCCATAGAATAAGACCAACTCAAGTTAAAACTTCCACACACTATCAAAATAGCCAAGAATGTGGACTTCTCACACCTTAGCCAGGGGCGGTGATTTCCTGGGGCAAATGGAGGTTAATCCTCCAGGTTGAGATTAGACTTTGGGTTTGAATTGTGTGGGAGCTTGGAGGTATGCAGGTTTCAGAACACGTGCTGTTGCTTTTGTGTCATCACCTTTAAAGGCTATATAAAGCCCACTGTTGGGTCTGTCAGCTTTTCCTCATAATCATCTTTTTGTCTTAAGCTCAGCAGGGTACAATGTCTGAACAGGAGCGTATACAGGAGTGCCTGAGGAAAGAAATAAGGTCACTTCTCATTTCCACCAAAGATGGTTTGACCCCACAGCAGTTGGAAAAGGAGTATCTTTTGATGGTTGGCAACCATCTGCCTCTCCGAATCCTCGGGTATCGATCCACCATGGAGCTGGTGTTGGACATGCCTGATGTTGTCAGTGTCTGCCCCTGCTGGGATGGTACTGTGATCCTGAAAGGTGAGTTGGCAATCTAAAGGTTCTTTAACTTTTTAATAATGATCATTTAGTAAAGAATTGTTCTAATTCTGAAATTATCTTGAGTCCCAAGCACTGGATTTTAATGTTTCAAGGAAGAGGAAAAGAATGTTGGAGTTTTTGAGGTTGTAGGCAGAGTTAGAGCTTTAGCAGAATTAAGAAATCTTTCCCCAAAAAATGCATTCTCCTAAACTGAATTTAGATTATGATTTCATATCATCACAATATTGTATTTTTTAATTATGATTTAATTTTATGAAGCACAAAGAATCGTAGGGGACTTTATTGAGAGTTTCAGGAGTCAGCTGTTGGTGTTGATAACATATCTATCTTTTCATCCTCTGGTAGAGACGCTAGCTGGCTGTTGTCAGAATGCAAGAACTGGAGGAGCTAAGGGTTTGTGTGTTTATCATGCTACCTAGATGCAGCCCCCTGGAGAATTAAAAATTAGATAATCAGATACAAAGGATAAAGAAGGGAGTAATTGCACACCTAAATATAATTTCTTTTTTCACATCTCCTTAGCCATTCCAGATGAATCCACCAAAGGAATAGCAAGTTTAGTTGCAAAACAGAGAAGCAGTCATAAGGTTCGAAATTCCATGCAGAGGGGAAGGACCAGTGTTTGCCCTGGGCCAACTTCTCGACCACGATTACCTTACCGAGGAAGGGTACCCCCTATTCTTCCTGCTGTTGTGAAGAGTGAATTGAAAGACCTCTTGGCATTATCTCCTATTCTCCTCTCTGATTTTGAAAAGGCATTTGCCAAGCGATTTGGACGGTCATTCCAGTATGTGCAGTATGGATTCCTTTCTATGTTTGAAGTGCTGAATGCGGCTTCAGATGTCATTTCTGTAGAGCAGACTAGAGCAGGTTCTTTGTTGATGTTAAAGAAGAGTGTGACGGAGGAAAGGCAGAGAGGATGGCCAGCAGGTAAGCACTGTGTGTGGGTTAGCAAATTTTGGAGCAATTTTGACATGCACAGTTTTGTAATGATAAAGTTCCACAATGTTACTGAGGTTGAATCTTGCTGTACCACTTGTGATATTCAGACAGCATTGTAATGCTGACAATGTCCTTTCATAGCACTGCAAATGAACATGAGTTGCATATATTCATGTCAGATGACACAATGCAGAAAACAAAATGTTAAAAAATTCTTAGCGCTTGTCTTCTAATCTTTGCCATCACTCATCTTTGCTATCTTGGATGTCCTAGTAGACACTCCAATAATTTATGTAGTGTAATGATAATCCACCTAATTTGCAATAGCATTTTACCTTGAATTCTCAGTGCCAACCATAGACAGATGGGGTGAGTGAGTCTATCTAATAGATAAGGAAACCGCTCAGGAAAGTTAAAGGGTTTTTCCAGAGTCACACAGCTGGAAAAATGGTACAGTCTGGGTTAGATATCTAATTCTTATTATTGTGCATCTGTAACGCTCCTGTTTGATCACTGTCCCCCATAATGGCTCACAAAACCATTGTGATCTTTAGGAGTGTTTCCCTTTCCCTTCTATAGTGTAAGGATCTATACACTGAGGCTCTTTGGGAGAATTCTGTGCCTACTTCAGTGAGTTTCTTTTCCTCCAAAATCTGTATTTAGATTAAATAGGTGAACCTTGAGAATTTCACCAGTTTACCAACCAATATTTAAACTGTGGTGGATAATGTAACTTTTGAAGAATGTGCTGGGAGTTACGTAGTCTGACCAGGGGAAGGTATGTGGGCTAATGAGTGTTTGAGTCTAGTCAGTGTTCTTCAGGTACTCAAACTTAGGGAAATTGACACATGCTGTTAAACTAGTAGAAGGTTAAGTTGCATAAAGTACTCTGCCAAGTTATTGAATAGTAGGGATGTATAGTCCTTTCCCAATGTTTGGCCTCTCTCTGGTCATCATCAGGATGTCTTAGAAGTAATTGGGTTTTTTAGGTGAGCTTGATCTTAGGGTAAAGAAAGAACTAGGCCATGGAAAGGGCCAGTGGTACCTCTTTTACATTGTATAATAATACATCTCTCCAGAGGGGGTGATAATCTGCATTCTAGAACAATCTTTATTCTGTAGTTTTTTGTTTTACATACCCCTTCATACTACTGCCCCCCCAACACACACACACACACACACACACACACACACATACATACACCCTGTCCCCCCCCCCACCCCCACTATAACTACATTTGAGGAATGTAGTTCTAAGCAGACCCATTACTTGGAGCCTTTGATCCAAACAGGATACAGCTTTTTAGGTTTTTACCTGTGGAATGCTGCTTTTCTGTAATGACATTCAGATGACCTTAAATGGCCCCAGCCTTCCCAGCAACACACTTATGACCTACTAATTTCCTTCTGTATATTACTGATCACTTCCATCATGTTTAAATTTTACTGGCTTAATATGAAACTGTAAGCTTACTTTCCACAATTTTTTTTTGCCTTCTAAGTAAGGGGAGTGAGTCACTGTGGCTTCTATGTATAACCACCAGAAAATAAACTAAAAATTGCTAGTGACAATTTTTCTCTTTTTCACAAAAGGTAAAATTTTTGCCCAGCCATTTAGAATGAAGCCAGGGTCATACCCCATGGGTTCACCAGTGGCAAAGCCACGCTTTTCACAGCCTGCTTCAAACATGGAGCCCCCGAAGCCAATCCTGCACATGGAAAAGACTTCTAAGTCAAATTCAGTGGAGACTTCAAGGATGAATCACACTGAAAAGTTAAACCAGGTGAGGTATTTGAGTTTGGAGATACAAGTATACCAGTTTTCCCCCAGTGATTACTAGATCTGATGGAAAAGCTGACCTTTGAAAATTGAAGTCACTTGTTGGGATCTAATTAAGCATTTCGATGGACTGGTAAGAAGTAACGGTGAGAAAGAGTACACTTTTATCAACTCCATGGTTTCTACTGTTCTATAATGACTCCCAAGTCTGTATCTCTAGTTCCATCTTTGCATCAAAGTTAGAGAAGTTATTTGTAAATTATCACCTAAAAGACTGACCCTGAGCACCTCAGTCTTGGTGTTTTTCTGTGCTGAAGGACGTTGAATAAAACAAAGTTGGTTATTGTTTTGTTAGTAAGATAATAGCTTATGTTGAATTCAGAATAGGCACTTGGAAATTACATTTAAAACACAAAAGTGCTGTATTTCTATAAAGGAAATGGTAAAACTTACCCATTTAAAATGTAATCTTAATTTTGATAATGCATCTGGTCATGTACTCACCACCAAAATTAGGAAGCAGACCATTTCCATCACCTCTTATTTTAGGTTTTCCCATAGTGAATACTTACTGCTTTGTTATAAGGAAAAAAAATGTTATTAAAAAGAGAAAACACCGTTTCTTCTTTGTAAAAAGAAGGCTCTTTGGGGAAGTAGATGCAGACTTGTCTATTGCCATACTTTGCATCACAAAGGAAATGGTTAAAACAATTTAAAACCTTTTGACAAGACAAGACTATTCATTTTAACATGTCCTATTTTGAGAGAAGGTTTGGAACAGTAGTGAAAGTGTACGTGGCATGTATGGATTCGCTGTATTTTCTGGTGAGTGAAGCCTCATACTCTGTCTCATCCAACTCATCAGAATAATTCTCTAAATTAGTGTTTAGTCTTAGGCCACAGCTAACATTGTTTTTTCTTTTTCTTTTTTTTTCCTTCCCGTTAGTATGTGAGGATAGAGAGGATAGGGGTCTGACGTTTCTGGGTTTTCTACCCATAAAACTAAGAGTACCCCCTTCTACTCTCTTGCCTGAACACTTTAGAAAACTTTATAACAACGTTCAGTTTGAGATTTTAAAATATGTAGGAATTATAAAAGATCTTCTGGTCCTAAATGACTTAAAAATCAGGGCTTGCACCTAATTTTTAATCTGCAGTTAAGCAATTGATAGTTTTTACATGAATTACATGATGTGCTCGGGATTACTTGTAACGTAAGAAACATTTCTATCTCTCTGATCATATGGCTCAACTAATATTTTAAGAATATCCTCCACAAGCAACTGGACATATTAAATAGTTGTGTCAGGAGCGTTAGCCAGCATGAAATAAAGTTGTGCCCTGGCTATTTTCTTAAGAGTTCAGATGAATTTTTTAATATGTCAAGTCAAATTCCATATTGCCTAACTTTTGTCAGATGATGAGATGCTTGGGAAATAATTAAGCAGTTGAAAGCTTTGCTTGGGTGTGTTTCTGTGCCAGTTCTGTGATCTTTATAAAAGATGTGTTCCTTTTACCGTATGGCCAAAAGGTCTGTACTATATGCTTCTAAGATGTTACTTCTGCTTCTTTCTGCTTTCAGCCATATGCATCCTCCTTCTCAAATGTATACTCATTTCTCCAAATATCACCCAGGTGTCTGTTTTTAAAACTTTTTCTTATGACTAAAGTAATGCAAAGTGAAAGCAGAAAACCTGAAATACAAAAAAAGCACAGAATGAAATTACCTATGCTATTCTCACCCTGAAAAATTGAGTTTTCTTTTAAAAATAGAATTATTCTGGTCCAGACTTGTAACCTGCTTTTTCTGAGATATAACTATGCATTGTCAGCACCCCACATTATTGAATACTGTGGTGCAACGTAATTTTTATCAACAATATGTATATGCCGTAATTAATTGAACTTAAAACCTAGGTTGGTATTTAAATTATTTTTAATTTTTGCTTTTAAAAATAATCTGACAAGGAAAAGGTTGTTAAAATTTGTACCTATCACTATTATTCCATAGGGTAAATCTCTAAAAGAACAATTATTTCATCAAAAGGAATGTTTTACTTTCATGGCCTAGCATGAGAGTTGCTTCAGTTGCACTTACATGAGATTTGTGTTAATGTGGGTTTTTCTTCATCTCTTTGCTAATACTCACTATAAATGGACTTTTTTTTTTTTTTTTGAAAAGTTGCCATTTGACAGAACTTGTGGTTTTAATAAAGATAGAAATAAATGACATGGACATCGATTGAAAATACTTTCGCGAAGCACGAGATAAAGTAGTTCTCAGTCTTTTCACCAAGAAGCCCTTTATTAAAGACTGCCTAAAACTTAATCAGTTTTGGCTTTTAATCAAGAAACCTGAAGCTTCCTGTCAGAGTTTCTAAGTGTCACTAAGTGTCACGATAAGATAACCAGGTTAACAACTTGAAGTCATATAATTTGAATAAAAACATTTTTTAAAAGTTTGCTTAACCTGTACGTTCTGGCTGTGGGGATGTGCTGTCTACATACATGAATGTGTGAGTCATGTGAGGAGTGAGTGGCAAGAACCCCACAGAAAAGGGCGTGCTTCCGTGTCTGCAGTGGGGAGTAGTGTTAATTCCTACGAGGGGCACAGGACAGGAAGAACCATGCAGGGCTGGAGAAGGGTCAGGAAGTCCCATGTAAATGGACTTTTTTCTTCAGAAACCCTTCCCTGACTTCATTTTTCCCCACCTGCCCTAGTTGAAGCTAGTTGTCTCATTGCTTTCCAGATACCTTCAGGAATATTATGATTTCATGACACTTTATTACTATTACATTTTGTAGTAACATTACAACACTGTACATGATTTAAAGGTAGAGGTTCACATCTCTTCAGATAACACCTTGGGTTTTTTATATTTATTGTAATTATGTATTATGTGAGTGTTTCATGTCTGTCTCCCATCACACCATGGTGACAGTGACCATGTCTAGCCTATTTACAACTGTGTATTGTGCTTTTAATATTGTGAAGCATACAGTATGTGTTCAAGACATATTGAATGAATAAATAGGCATTATTTTAAAAAGAGTTACCTAATTTGATAGAGAAATTAAAAAATCTGAACAATTTGTTAATATTTGAATTAATAGTCTCATTGGATATTATTTGTTTTAGGAATTGCCTATTTATGTCTGAGGAGTATATTCATTTTTCTGAGGAATATATCATTTTGACTTATAGCTCTTAGGGAAGAGCTTCTTGAGCATCTCTGGTCCTATACACTCCTCTCTGAATATCACATTTTGGCGGTCTGTTCCATCTCTGTATCCCTATATTATAATCATGATTTATTACCCACTCTTTGTCATTAGGCATCTGAAACAAATACATCTCATGGTCATGTTTACTTGATTACTTTCCTCATTTCAATTACTGATTACCTCGTACTCTTCCCCACACATTATAATATCTACTCTCATTATAGATATCCTCCATATTATATGCACTGGAAAAAAATCTCTCCTACCCCTTTTAGTTTAGACCTAATTTAATCACCTAGTTTGAGGAGGAAAGTGTTTTCCCCTTACATTGTAGTCCACCATTTTGACATCGTAATCTTAGACTTGCAAATATTTTCCCCTAATGGGGAATAGTAAGTATTTGAGAGTTTGAGGGCTAACTGGTCTCTCTTGTAATTCCTCTACTCTGGCAATACAGAAGCAACCATGAACAATAAGTGAATAATGTGATAATGTTCCAATAAAACTATGGATGCTGAAATTTGAATTTCATATAATTTTCATGTGTTACAAAATATAATTATTTTGACTCCCCCTCCCCCATTTAACGTGTCAAAACCATTCTTAGCTATTAGGACATAGTAGACGGCCAAAGACAAATCACATTTGTAATGACCATCCTGCCACTGACATCCCAGTTTCCTAGCTCTTGGAATTGACTTAAAACCATTAAAAACTTACCTGTGTGTCCCAAGATTCTTTTCTTTCTATATAAAATTTGAATCCTTGCGGGTATTTCCTTTGAGTCTCTTACTGTTTGTATCAGTAGAATCAGCAGCTTCCTTCTCCCCATTGTCGTCTTTCCTAATTTTGTGTATTCCACCTTTGTAATTTCACCACTCTCCATTCTTACTCTTTGCATCTTAGCTGCAACTCTGGCCCAGAGACCTGACTGTCTTCCTGATTGTTCACTGTACCAATCTAATATTCTGCTGTCAAATTGAAGTTCTGATAGTGCCTCTCCTTTGCAAAAAAATTCTAGTTATCATTTTTGTAGAATAAAAAATTGCATTTAAGGTATACTCTAATAAGACTTCAGTCTGTCCTCAGTTTTCTTTGTCACTACCTTCCTAACGCCTGCAGGCAAACTGCTTATTCTTTTTTCCTTTGTTTATAAAATTCCTTTACTTTCCACATCCCTCTGCTGCCCTTCTCTGCAGTGTTCTCCCCATCCTTCACGGCCCTTCCAAAAACTTAATGAGATGAATCCTGCATTTTGTGTCTTTGAGAGTCAGCCTTAGGTTATAGCTGTGTATGCATTGATCTCATGTCTTCTCTTAATTATAAGTGGTTTAAGAGGAATGATGTTGTCAAACATGACCCCTTTTTGTTCCCAGAAACACCTAGCACAGCAATATGCTGGGATGCAAGAAATCCATTATCTTTAGGCGCTCTTATTCACTGGGAGCTCTAGGGAATTATCTCATGGCACATAGAGAAGAAATAAAAAGAACATTTGATCAAGGGCTGAGACCTTTACAAAAGCTCATGATAGAATCATAGGAATCTAATTCTCCCCTCCTCAGATCCCATTTTTCCATCATTCATTGAGACATTGAGATTGTCTTCATTTTTCAGAGACTTAAAAGGGCACACACTTTGTAAGTAATAACAGGCCAAGGAACACTAGAAGAAAGATTTAAAAATAAAAATTTAGAAGGAAAAAATATAATGATTGTGTGATATCGGATTTTTGGTTATTTGTGATTTTCTTTATACCTTTGTGTCTTTTTCATATATTTGGAATATATATTACGATTACTTAGCATCTTTAAACAAAGCTCCATGATCTTTCCATTCTGGGTATCTACTGCTATGGGATTCACTGGGCCCTTGCTCTCTGGGGTGCTCCTTGGCACTATCTATGCTTAGAGTGCTTGGCACTTTTACATTATTTCTGTGCATTATCTTTTCACCTTATGGAGGCTTCTCTGTGCTCTTGACTTCACTCTACTAAATCCTCACAACAGCCCCTTCCCTCTTTATTAAGTTAGGCCTCTACCTTTACTCTCTACCTGTTGAATTTAGGTATCATTATTTTCACCCATTATTTCCTGTTTTGTGTTTATACTCTGCATTTCCCTACCTTCTGTCCTCAGGATTGGGCCTTTTTTTTCTGAACTCAGAGAAAGTACTGAAGCTCTAGGATATTAATTTCCTTCACCTTCTGGTCTCACATTCACAGAAGCTTTTTGTATCCTGATTCTTAACTCCTTTATTTCTATTACAGCAGGACTATCCTTTACGACCAGGTACCCGCTCCCTCCCCAAAGCCCTCGTTCAGTCATTCCCTTTGACTAGGACACTTCCACCATTCAGACTTTCTGCTACATTGGGCATTTATTAAGTATCTGATAAAATCAAATACTTTATTAACAGAAGGAAATTAGTAACAAAAAATCCTCTCTGAGAATATATGATTGAATAATTGAAGGCTCTAGATTCTAATTGTTATAGAAAATATGAATTATCCTGGAAATTTCCAGACATTCAGTTTTATAAAGATTCCATCTACTCAAAATATATTCTATGTTGGGCCCTCCCGGGTGGCGCAGCACATTAAATCACAACAGTATGAAGCTATTGCGGCCACTACAGCAGGAGTTTGATCCTTGTCAGTGGAGGTGACCCACACGGCACAGCAGACTTCTCCCAACCCGCCCACTGCTCCCCTCAGCAGTGTATTTCATCAATCTGCCTGTTCTGCTCACCGCTCTGTCTCTGGTGAATGCTCTCACTGCCTCTGCACCTCTGGCCTGTAACCCCATTCAGTAAGCATAAATAAATAAAATCTTTAAAAAATATATACATATATTCTTTATGGTATGAGATGCCAGTCTCTCTTAAAAGCAGTGTTTTACTCATTTAATTAAAATAGATTGACAGATATTTCATTTATACATACTGTTTAGATTTTTTTTTGAGACTTATTTAAACTAGTTTCTTTTTTCATAGTTGGAGAACACATTCAAATCAGTTATTGCACAAATTGGACCTGGAGGGACTATCAATTCAGAACTCAAACATAAGATAAAATTTGTAAGTATATTATGTCTGGGAAATGGATAAGAATAATTGATTAAAAATTTAGGTATCATTTGTGGTTAAGTTTAATTTGCCTACCAATATTTACTAGCTTTATATTTATACCTGATCTTCTCAAATATACTGCAAATAGAGTAGCTATTTTAATTTCAGGAAAAAATAAATTGCACACACACACAACATTTTATGTTCTCAAAATTACTCAAAAACTAAGGTCTTACATAAGTGCTTTCTTCTCTGTTTTCTTGTTGACAGTTCAGTCTGTAAGCCAGTTACATATATATATTTGACACAAACGTGTGTGTGTGTATACATGTATGTATACACACATGCCAAGTATTCTGAACAGTATATGATATTCCATTGTATTAGACGTGCCCTATTTCACTCATGAGATCTGAGATTGATTAGCATTTGTGTTGTTTCTAGCTGTGGCTATTAAAAAATACTGTAGTAAGCCAGAAAGAGAAAGAAAAATACCGGATGGTTTCACTCATAGCAGGAGTATAATGGACCAGGCGAGAAAATAACAAAAATAATGAACAACCATAGACCAGAGACATTCTGTGGGGGTGGAGTGGGGAATGGGATCAAAAACGGGGGGAGGGGGGGAAGGGAGGGAAATGCACGGGACTATGGTGGTGGCACAGGGGTGATTTGGTGATGGGAAGCCCGTGGGGATTACAATTGAGATGAAAAAAAAATGTGAAAAATGATGTAAAAATAAACTTTTTAATAAAAAAAATAAATAAAAATAAAAAAAAATCAATTATAGAAAAAAAAATACTGTAGTTAATGTCCTTGCACATTTATCTGGAAGTGGAATTGCCAAAGGTATTGACTATTTTAAGTTTTGATGATAAATATGACGAAACTGCCCTCTAAAAGGTTTGAGCAAATTTTTACCTCCCACTGACAGTGAGATATCCCTATTAAATTTTCTTGTTTTAATTTATACTTTTTGCATTTATACTGAGAATCTTTTCATATACTTAATAGCCATTTCCTATGTGAATTTCTGTTCAGGTCTTCTCCCTAATTTATCATGTTGCCTTGTTAATTTGTGAAAGTATTTTAACTGTTATGCATTGGGCTAAAGGAAGGGTGCACTTAAATTTTTGGTGGAAGTTGTTAATTCTGGTTTCAATAATCACAGTATCATTCAGAGTTTTACTACCTTGTAGTAGTAAAATGGTTTATTAGGAGAAATGCAAAAACTTTTGGTGCACTCAGCTTCCGATTTTGTCTGGAGATTTGACCAAGTATCCAGCAATTACTTAAGAATGTTCAATATAATCTTTGGTAACAGAAAATCAGAGAAAAATTAAACAATCATTTATAAAGAATTGATTAAATTATCCAATCAAGCTAGGGAGTCACATAGTTAAGAAAGTTTATGTATACCTGTTAATTTACATATGTATCTCCTTGTTTTATCACTGGACTGTAAAAGCTTACTTTTTCTTTAAATTTCTGCTTTTTTCTTTTTTATTGAGGCATGTACCATTAGTTTGTAACACTATGTAGGTTTCAGGTGTACGGTTTCTCATGTCACCACACGCTCTCTATATCACCCCACGCTCATCAACAACCATCCAGCCCTCACAACCAGTTAACCCCTATACCTTGACCCTTCCTCCTCCTTTGACTTGTTTTATATGTTTCATTGCTTCATTTTTTTTTTTTTATGGATGAGTAGTATTCTATTGTATATGTTACCTTCTGAACTCATTTGTCACCAGGCACTTGGGTTGTTTCTATACATTGATTAATGTGACTAGTACTAGAGTGAGAATAGGGGTGCATACTTCCAAATCCATGTTTTCATGTATATTTTTAAAGATTTATTTATTTATGCATACAGAACTGGGGCACAAGCCAGAAGTGCAGGAGTGGTGAGAGGATTCACCAGAGACAGGGTGGGGAGCAGAACAGGCAGACTGACAAAGTACACTGCTGAGGGGGGCAGCGGGCGGGTCAGGAGAGGTCTGCTATGCCACGTGGGTCACTTCCAAGGGCGGGGGATCAAACTCGCACTGAAGCTGCCGTGGCCAACTTTCAGTGCTGTGTCCTTACCCATTGCACCACAAGGGAGATTCCTGTTTTCATATTCTTCAGGCAATTACTAGATTATATGGTAGTTTTATTTAAATTTTTTTAAGATCGTTTATTTATGCACACAAGAACTAGTGTACAGGCAGAGGCACTGGGGGTGAGAGGAATCACCAGAGACAATGGGGAGCAAAAGGTAGATCTACTGAAACACACTGCTGAGGGAGCAGTAGGCTGGTTAGGAAATGTCTACAGCGACATGTGGGTCAGTTCCCTGACCAAGGATCAAACTCATGCTGCAGTGACTGTGGATAGCTTCACAGTGCTGTGCTTTAACCTGTTTCACCACCATGCAGGGCCTATTTTTAGTTTTTTGAGGAGCCTCTGTACTGTTTTCCATTACGATTGCACCAATATACGTACCCATGACCACAGCATGAGGGATCCTTACTTCCCACATTCCCAGCAGCCCTTATTATTTCTTGACTTTTTGGCAGTTGCTAGTCTGACTAGTATGAGGTAAAATCTCATTGTGATTTTGACTTAAATCATGTTAATTTAAATGATACAGAACATCATCTTTTTATGTATTTCTTGGCTATCTATGTCTTCTTCAGTGAAATGCCTATTTAGATCCTCTGCCTACTTAAAAAAGCAGGGTTTGCATTGCAGCATATTGTCTGTTTACTTAATGTCATGGATAATGTGAATATGTGTGCATTAAATGATTTCTGAGAGGACTTTTTCTGAAACACAGCAACCTGTGTTTCTGGGTCACTGAAATTTGGAATAATTTTTACTTTGTTTTCTGAAGCTGAATTAGAATTTTTAATAAAGCATTTAATATCTATAAATCTAGGAAACACAAATCATTTTATACTTTATTGGTAAGGATAGGTTTACTGCTAGGAATTCTTCCTAAAAAAAATTCAGAGAAGTGGGCAAGTTGCGGCTATGAGGATAATTGTTGAAATATTTGTGATGAAAACAGGAAACAACCACAGAAGCTTAGGAATTTCCTGAGTTAACTATTATGACTATTTTTGAAAAATCTATAACAATTAATGCATGTTGAGCTGTGTTTAGTGATTTGGAAAGACATCTGTGGAATTATATAAAAACTAGTTATAGAAATAATGCCCTTAATTTTATATTAAATGTAGGTACATCTATGTGCACATCTCTGAAAATATTTTTGTATGGCTTGATGTATTTCCCCAAGTTTTTTGTAATATTCGATTTCTTTTCTACCATTTAAAATGCTTGAAATTATGTTGTAGAATATTTCATGTGAGGTAAAATTAAGTGTGCTCCTGAGCTACAGAGGCTTAGGAATTTCTTGAGAGTTGTGTCATTGTAGTATTGTGGAGCATGGTTTCTGGTTTCTGGGTTCTGGAGATGTTGAAAGTCATTGTGCTTTCTTGTTAACAACCTTTTCAAAACTGGAAACTGAACTTTTAAAAATGATGACTATTTCATTCACTCATTAATGTTAATGTTGCCTCTATTATTATTTAAATTTCAAACTGTTTTGTGTGGATATTTTTGCCATCCAGCATTGCAATGGTATCTATATATGGTATTTTATTTTCTATGTATTAGGTTGTATCAAAATTCCCAGAGGGTTTGCTTATTTCAAAACTGCTTGGAGAGTTTGAGGTGAGTGTTTTCTTCTTCATAAACCACATGCTTTATGACTGATGCTTCTTACAGTAGACAAATATTTTCTTGCTGCTCCTTGGATCCTCCAAGTCTGTGCTTTAGAATTCAAACATCTTATTTTTCTTTTGGGCATCTTTCTTTACTAAAAGAGTTAAGGTATCATCCTTAACAAATACTTGGTCATTTATAGGAAGGATATTCTTACCACTATTGTTAGAACAACACTAGAATAAAGAAAAATTAGAATAAAATATTTACTTTTAGTTTCTAGTAGTCCCACAGAGGCATTTACAGAAACTCTAACAGGTGCACATAACATATAAGACATGCATATTGAAGCAAAATAAAAATTGGAAACCAAGTGCCATCAGTAAAATTGGTAAACAGAGATTGACATTTATACAATGTAATAATAAATAGCAAATAAATGTGTTCGATCTGCTCTGCAAAGCAAATCACTTTTGAAGTTATAATGTTTAATGAGAAAGTTAAAGAATGATAATCCAGATAACTCCAGACAGCTAATATAGGTTTAAAAATAGTAAGACCTATACATGTGTTAACTGTGTGCCAGACTATTCTGAATGCCTTTCATGTCGTTATTCATCACAATAAACTGAGGTACGGAGAAATAAACTGGCCAAAGATCAGATAGCCAGTAGTGGGGTAGAGCCAGTATTTGAACCCCAGGCAGTCTTGAGTTCTGAATCCTAATTCTTAATTACTGTACTATGAAAATAATTGTGCATTTACAGATATAAATACAGATACTGGTGTGATAGTATAGTATAACAGTTAATATATGTCACTTACTTGTACTATTTTATAGGTGGTATGTAAAGTCAGAATAATACTGATTTGAATGACTTAAAGTACTTAGAATAGTGTATGTCATTAGTGATTATTCAACAAAGGTTAATTTTTAGTAGAAGAATATTTGGGAAAGAATCACACCATCCTTCAAGGATGGACGGAAATTAAATTCATATAGTTTTAAGGACATGAATTTTTTAGAGTCAAGAGCCATTGCTGCCAGATTCATGACTCAAAGTACACAGTTTTCTACCCCAAATATTTAAACAGATGTAGCAGCCTGTAATAAAATTCATGGTGTTAAAATTATAGGCAACAATCTATTGGAGAAATGAAAACCTTTCAATGCTAAAGGGAAGTAGTTAGCCTTTTAGTAATCAGATTTAGGCAGAAATTCAGCTCTGTGGTTAGACGCCAGTTTGTAGATATACTAACTAAGCCTCTATCCAGCTTGATGTAAAAGCTGTTTGTATGATGTTTCCTCTTGAACTTCCCTGTTCCAAAGTCCACTGTTGTTCAAGAAGCCTAGTTAAATTGTTATCTGAAGATGAGATGTACAGCAGCAGTATAGTTTTTAGATCTTGCTGGAACATCATAGCAGATGACAGAAAAACTAGGTAGTAAACCCAATAGTCCATGGGCAATATTTACACCCAAGTTGGGTAATATATCTTCTGTGAATTGTAGTGCTGGGAGTAACCACAAGTAGCCATAAGCTTATCATAATATCAGGGTCTTTGTCAGGAAGAAGCAGAAGCAGCAAAGGAATTGATGTCTGGAGAACCTGGGCACAAAGAACTACAAAACAGATACTACTCACTAGAAAGTTCAGCACGTGTTTGAAAACAGGGCAGCTGGAATTGGATGATACCTTGACACCTCTAATAGAAGAGAGTGTTTCATGGTAAAAACTTGCATGGGACTGGGTCACGATAGCCCCTGTGAATTCATTGACCAGCTAGAACTCTTTTCCAGAAAGGGCTAGACTTTAGAGAAATTGAGCAGAAAGCTTTGGTTGCATCTTAACAGATTTTGTTGTATTTTCATTATCATTCAGTTAGTGATGCTTTTTCTTGTGATTTGTTTTCTGACGAGTCACTTTGGAGTATTGTTTAAGTCCCATATTCTCCAGAAGGTTAATTCTTAGGTTGTTTTTTGTATTGATTTGTAATTCCATCTTCTTAAGAGAATGTGCTCTATACAATTTCATTATTTTGAAGCTTGTTGAGACTTAACTCTGTGGCCAACTATAAATTTTATTGATGAAGTGCCACATATGCCTTTTTAAAAAAGATTTTGCTTTATAATAGATATTGTTAAAAATGAGAGGTATAAAGTTCTCCTAATATTCATTTGATTTACCATATACTCTAGAAGGAACTTGAAATTAGCCTAGAAGTTTTTCAGTGGGGGATTAAAGATCTCTTGGGTTATATAATATTTGTATGGAAGCAAATCTTTACTGGAAAACCTGAGTTCACTGACCGTTACAAATTTAGTTTGACTTGATCTAAATTAAAGCATTGTTCAGGGTATCTGTTAACGTTAGATTCCTGTTTTCTAAACTGTTCTTTCATGTATTTGTGGTTTTGTGGTCGTAGGTGATTTTTAAAGAACAACTTTCACCAAAAAAATTGGGCTTCTTAAATGTGACAGAACTTGTTGGAGCTCTTAGTGACATTCTTCATGTTGAGTTCAGGGAGGGAGAACAAGACCTACGAGTGTTTGATGTTGACATGAAACCTCTACCGCCTGGTGAGTCAATCAAATGATGCTAACCTGGTTTTAATTGTACTTGCAAGGACAATGGAAAAGAAAGCCTTGACCACGTAGTATCTTTTATTTTAACTGCATTAACCAACATATCACATTAGCTTTGAAAATGTTTTGAATATATATCAACCTTTCTGGTGATATTTGTTGCCATAGGCTCATCTGTATTACTATATGACTTCCTAAAATTTACTTTCTTAATTATAATTGTCCAGATTTTTTAGTAATTCTGAAGAAATTGATTTTCTTGTGGGAAATTGTAAGCATTGATGGGAGGTACTAGGTTATTCAGTGATTCTTAACTCACACCGCTCATCAAAAGATTTTTAGAAATACCCAGAGATTTAGAATTACCTGGGTGTGTGCTTATATTTGTTTAACAAGCTTTTTATTTGGCGATAATCTTAGGTTTAGAAAAAGCTGCAAAGATAGTACAGAGTTCCTATGCACCTTCTATTGTTTCCTGTTTTATTAGCATCTTAAATTGTTATGAAACCTTTGTCAAAACTAAGATACTAACATTGGTATATTACTGTTAACTAAACACCAGATGTTACTCAGTTTTCCAGTTTTCTTACCACTATTCTTTCTCTGTTTCTTGTTCTACTCCAGGGTAACAGTGTATATTTAAGGTACTTGCTTTTGGGCTTTGCTTTTTGGTATCTTTTTTTCCTTTTGAAGTTTTTATTGATATTATTGTAGAGTCACATGCAGTTATATGAACTAATACAGAGAGACCCTATGTACTCTTTCTTCAGTTTCCCCAATAGTAATGTCTCGCCAAATGAGACTAATGCAGTAGTGCACTGATGTTATTATAAATTTCTTTAATGAAAATAGCTATTTTCCCAAAAAACAAATTTATCTTTATTGATTTTTTTAATTTTTAAAGTAACTTATGTTCATCATGAAAGTTGATAGTTTCCTAAAGAAAGTGAACATTTCCCATCATTTTATTCCCCCCCCCAAGTAATGCTGTTGAAAATGTTGTGTAGGCTTTCAGACCTTTTTCAATTTATGTATAAACATAACTTTTTTTTTTTAATACAAAAAAGTGATAGTGTTTTTTTTAAACAAGTCAAACAGTAGAGGTGCTAGTAGTTTTAGTGTGTCTACTTCTAGATTCCTATATAATAGTTATTGATAGTATAATGTTTTTAAAGCGGTATTATATAAATATTGTAATAAACTTTTTTATACTTCCCATATTGTGGATATTCTTTCATATTGCTATATGTATTTATGTCATTATTTTAAGGTACATGTAATCAATCCTTCTATGTGACTATCATTCATTTAACCTGTCTCCTATTGACAGTTCAGTTTTATCATTATTTTAAAAATACAGTGATAAATACTCTTGTACCTCCATCTTTGTACATTTGCTGGTACAAATGTACTAACTACTCTTTAGGATCTACTGTCATTACAGATCTACCTGGGGCCTGTTTTAATGTACCAACTGCTTACAAATACACACATGTAAATTTGACCAAAATGTAATTGACTTGGGAATGCCCTAAAAATTAAGGCATTATATTATGGAATAGTAATGTATTAGCCACATACATTAAGCAACAAGGAAGGCTCACTGCAAAAGCTGGACAAGAGGTAAGTAGTGAACAGGATGTTGGAAAACAAAGCCTTCCTGCAACGTTAACAAAGCCTTGCCCAAGCAAGGCTCTTTACCTACCAATATGAATTCTTTGAGGGCTTTTACCATAAGGAAGTTCCTTGTGTCTCTCTATGCTGAAAGGGCTGCAAAGACAGGTTCACATTTCGCATTTATCAGCGTCCACCCCCCCCTTGCCTGGCATATGGAGTATGCATCCTAACAGTTACACAAATTATTTTAATTAATATGGATGCACCACTCCATTGATTATTTCAGATGGAGCTGTTTCACCTGGCAAAAGTTCATGTCCAGTTCAGTCAGATAAGAAAACAGAAGTCAAAGCTTGTGTCTCCAGTCCCCCTAGAAATTCACTGTCTACTACCACTATCAAGGAGACCACATGGGATTTCCCTTCAAAAAACCATAAAGACCCAGAACAGAAGATTTGCAAGAAGCCTAATCTCGTGGTAAAGCCTTTACAGCTGGTGAGTGAGGGTCAAGCCCTTGTGTCCCGAACATTCAGAGCTGTGGAATAAAAGTGAGTGAATGTGAATTTAAACCAAAATGCTGTTTTAGTACTAGTACTAGATCTATCATTTCTTGGAAGTACATTAGCTTTGGTCTCATGTCACTTTTTGCAGCCTTTGTTCTGGCTTTCAGTCTTATATAACTGGCTTGCCATCAAGTCTCATATGAATGTGTTAGATGGCTTGGGGGATTTGACCATTCTCTCATGATGTCGTCACTGATTTTCCTCTACACCTGTTTGAAAATGCAACCTGAAAATCCTCCAGGGCTTTAGAAAATAGAATCAAGGGCCTTTGTTTGGCTGTGTGACTTAACAACTCCTACAGATTGCTTATACACTGGTCCTCAGTGACGGAGTGCTTTAATTTTTTTCTCTTTTTACATCACCACACGTAATTCTTCATTTTTGTCTTGTCATCTTCCATTACTTATTTTGTTACTAAATAATTAACTTTCCACACTCCATACCACCGTATCTGAATTCTTTTGTGGAAGGAAAATTTTTTTGTTTAGAGAACCTGTTTTTTGGAGGACAATAGGAATGGGTAATGGAAAGTAATAGATTTTTGAATGAGAGTATTTGGAAAGCCTATTTTTTGATTTTGTGAAATGTAATCCATTCTATAAGAATATCTTTGTTGGTAAGATACCTTTGTTGGGTAGGGTGAGAATATCAGTTAAACCTGAATTTTTTTTCTTTGAGATAACACTGGCTTTCAACACTGTACGTGATTTAATCAGGGTAGTGGGTTCACAGATGTGTTATCCCTCTTCCACCATCAAAGCCCCTACTGTCCTTCACTAGGCCATTGGTACCCTACCCTGTTTTCCCCCCACCCCAAGTTCCCCCTCCCTCTAGCAGCTTTTATTGTACCGACATTTCTAGGGTTCATTTTGGTTTAGTTTTGCCACTTCCTTTTTTTCTCCCTCCTATATTCCACATGAGCGAAATCATGTGATATTTGCCTTTCTGCTGACTTAGCATAATCCCCTTCTGTTCTATCCATGTTGTCACAAATGTCAGAAGTCCATTTTTTCTTTTATCTGTATTGTATTCCATTGTGTATATCTACTACATCTTAATCTATGCTTCTGTTGATGGGATTTTAGGTGGTTTTATAACTTGGCTATTGCAAATAGTGTTGCAGTGAACATAGGAGTACATATATTTTCCTTTGAATTAGTGGCTTATATTCTTTGGATTGATCCCTAGGAGTGGAATTCCTCCTAGGTATATCTGTGTTTAATATTTTCAAGGGCTTTCATACTGGGCCAATCTTACATCCCCACCAACAGGATCCAGAGTTCTTTTTCATCCACATCCTCACCAACATTTCTTGTTTCTGTTTTTGATACAGGCCGTTGTCACTGGGGTGAGGTGATAGCGACTTGTATTTCCCTGATGAGAATTAGTAATATTCAACATTTTTTTCATGTATGGGCATCTGTATGTCTTTAGGGAAGTGACCTTTTAGTTCTTTCATCCACTTTTTGATTGGGTTGTGTTCTTTTTGCTGAATTGTGTGAGTTCTCTGTAGATCTTGGATATTAGCCCCTTGTCAGATGTATGATGTGCAAAATTATCCTCCCATTCAGTAGATGGGAGAAATGTTCTGATGATAGTTTCTTTTTAGCTTGACATAATTCTGTTCATTTATTTTTGCTTTTGTTTTCCTTGCCATTGGAGTGAGGTCCCCAACGACAGCTCTGATACCAGTGTGCTGTTTGTTTCCTTTTGATTTTTTGTCTGGCTGATATTTCCATTGATATAAGTGGGGTGAATAATACCCCTACCAGATATTGTGGCCAATTCTGTTTTTAGGTTTGTTAATAAATCTTGCCTATTTTGGAGCTCTTGTGTTTGGTGTATATATATGCACAGCTTCCTGATATATTGATTCCTTAATCATCTATAATGTCTGCCCCTATCTCTTGATACCTTTTTTAAGCTGTCTTTTGGTTGTTGTTGTTGTTAGGGAAGTGATCCTATTTGCTTGTAGGATTTTTGTCCAGCCATTTACTTTGAATTTGTGTTTATCTTTGAAGTTCAAATAAGTCTTTCTGGAGAAATCACAAAGTTGTGATCTGTGCCTTCCAATTGAGTTCCATCCATTTATGCTTAGAGTGACTAGTCATATGTGGGGTATTGATATATGGGAATGCTGTTTCCCTCTCTCCATCGCTCTCTTCCCTTTTTGGGATACACCTTATTCTTATGTTAGCTTTCTTAATGATGTGAGATAATTCTCAAATTGCCTCTTCATTTTTTTTTTATTTATTTATTCGTACAGAACTGGGGTACAGGCCAGAGATGCGGAGGGTGAGAGGATTCACCAGAGACAGAGTGGGGAGCAGAACAGGCCTACTGATGAAATACACTGCTGAGGGGAGCAGCGGGCAGGTCAGGAGAGGTCTGCCTTGCCATGTGGATCACCTGCAGGGCAGGCGGGGATCGAACTCATGCAAAAGTGGCTTTAGTCTTAGTGCTGCACTTTAACCTGCTGTGCCACCAGGGAGGGTCCTCCTCTTCATTTTTTTTTTCATCTCATCATCTTCTCTTCTTCCACCTGAATCCTTAGTGCATCACGGTCTTGGAGGTCACTGATTTGATCCTTTATTCATTTTTTGATCTTTTTGATCTATTATAGACCATGGTTTCTCTGGAGTTACTGATCTTAGTTATTGCACTCCATAGCTCTTAAATTTCTGTCTTTATTTAAAGCTTCAGGTTCTACCTTCTGTTCATTGATTTTGTTGTTTTCCTAAATTTTGTTGTATCTCTTTGATAAGCTTTTCTATGTTCTTTTGTATTGCTTTGGCATGTTCTTTGGTGTTTTCTTTTTTACTTGACTTTCTGAGTTTTCTTCTGTCTCTGAGTTTCTTTATTATAGCAGTTCTGAACTCTTTCTGTGGTAGGGAAAAACAGTCTTCTATTTTTTGCATTTAGATTTTGGAGAGTCATTCTCTCTTTGTGATGTCCTACTCTCATGTGTTAGTTCTTTTGTCTGCTTGAGGTCTCCCTATTTTATTATTGTTTTAAATATCATTAGTCTTTGGTTTTATTTATTTTTGCCTTTTCTGTCTTCTGTGTAGACTTGAATCTTTTTTGTAGTGTTGGAGCATGGAGGGTGGGGAAGGACTTGGAGGGATTCAGATGTTGGTGTGGGTGAGGTGAGATGGGACTGGTTCATGTTTGTGGCAACCAGACCGTTCCTCCTCTCTGGGATTTGGACTGAAAGACTCAGCAGTCCTTCTCCTCTCAGTATTCCTCACAAAGTAAGTAGCCATCCTAGGGGAAGAAAAGGTGAGTGTCATCAGAATGCTTGCTCTGCTATTAGCTTTACTGGGGTACCCCTCTGTGTGGAGCACCCCACCTTCTCCACAAGATTCTCCTCCACTCAAGGAAATGTGCCTCCACATATCCTCTGCTTGCTTCTCCCCAGGCTTCTGCTTGAGATGGCCTCCCAGCCACTGGTGTCCCCTGCTACAGACCACAACCCACAGGTCCCCATCTCCCCACCTCCTGTTCAATGTAGCCTGAATCTCCTCAGTCTCAACCTTGTCAAAGCCTGTACCAGTATCTGCTGACAAAGGGATTGTCAGTTCCATGCCTACCAAACACTCTCTGTTTGAACAGATCCCTCTGTAAGACCTCTCCCCAGAACTCACTGGGTCTGGCAAGGTCTCTTGCAGGTGGGACAGCTTTCAGGACCTGCACTATGTCTGTGCTGGCCTACTGTGGTGGGTCTGTTTCCAGGTCCTGTCCCTGGGCTCTGCCTCGCCGACATCTACCAAGGGTTACCACATAAGAGCCTTGCTAGTTCCACTCTGCTGCCTGCAGGGCCATCTGGGCTTACCACGTTCACCCAGGCAGGCTCTCCTCCTCGCAGGGGCTGCCCTCGTCAAGGACATTACTCCTAGAGTGTGCTATCATCATCTGTCTTTCCTTCAAGTGTTACCAGCTTTGCTCTTCTGCAGTCTAGCTGTGAGTAGGTGGAAGGGGTGAGCCCAGCACCTTCACTCTGCCACCATATTACCCAACCCTAAGCCTCATGTGAAGGATCATGCATTCAGTTTTGTATAGGCCATTGTGTAACATACTTCTTTTAACTCTTTACCAAAAATCTTAAAGCAGTTTTCACCTTTTAATGCAGGAAAGGAACATCTGGGGAATTTTTTAAATATACATAATTGTAGGCCCCACTTCAGGTATTCTGAATCAGTGAGTCTGGGCTCAAGCCCAGGATTACATTTTCATGAAATACAAGAGTTTGAAATGTCACTCAGAAATTCACAATGATTTCTTTGATTTCCCCCCCTCCCCCAACTTGTAGCAAGTAGAAATGAACAAGTCGCAATTCAACTTGGCAATGGCAAATCATGATATCCCACCAGATGCTGTACGGGACAAGAAATTATGCAGATTGCCACCACTAGATACCAGTACCCTTGTGGGTGTATTTGTAGAGTATATCATCTCTCCTAGTCAATTTTATATCCGAATCTATAGCAGGGATTCATCAGAGTTACTCGAAGACATGATGATTGAAATGCGGTAGGTGTCCATTAATTTCAATGTTTGTTGTCTGTCTCATTCAAAATCAGTTTTTAAATATTTTTGGTCACAGAACTCTTAAAATCTGAGGACTTAAGAGCATTTGTGTATCAGTATTTTTCATACAGAAATGTTGAAAACATTGATTAAAAATAATAAGTCCATTTTGTCAAAAATGTTTTAATGAAATGTTGACCTCTTAAGAAAAAAATTATAAGAATGGTATTGTTTCATATTTTTGCAGATCTCTTTAAAACGTGGCTTAATAGAAGAAGTTTGGATTTTCATATCTGCTTCTGTCTTTGGTTTATTTAGAGATTTTATTTTGGTTATAGTAAGATCATCTTACCTCATACAGATATGTAGTTGGGGAGAGGGGTATATTAAAACCCTGTTCAGGAAACTGATGTTTTTTTTTTTGATAAGGGACAGTTTCTTAAAGATTGGATATGATGTGGAATTTGAACCTTTCATACACGATATGTTAAAATTGATTGGTTTGCCGTTCCACTTTGATTGGATCCAGGGCTTGTATGTAATTGCATGCCCTTATGCAAAATTAAAGTGAAGTGTTCCTCATTTAAAAATTAGGAATTTCAGACTAGCAATAGCAGAGTAGTGAAGTAATCAAAGGGCCCTCAAATGAAACAAATTTTAAATGGATGTTTTCCTCATCTGTGATTGATAACATTGTATATTGGTCACTTGGAATACACTGGTTTTCTGAATTATGTAGATCTTCCAAATGCTGACACGCTTCATCACACACTGTGTGTGTGTGTGATCACACTCAGGAAAGAATTAAGTAAACTGCCAAATTTATGGTGGCTACAATATACCCACAATCCTAATTTTCATTTGAGTGCTTTGAATTTTTAAAGATTATTTATACATACAGAACTGGGGTACAGGCCAGAGGTGCAGGGGTGGGGAGAAGCTTCATCAGAGACAGAGCAGGGAGCAGATCAGGCAGATGGATGAAGTACATTGCTGAGGGGAGCAGCGGGCGGGTTAGGAGAGGTCTGCCACGCCATGTGGGTCACCTCCGGGGCAGGGATTGAACTCATGCTGAAGTGGCTTTAGCTTCTTAGTACTGTGCTTTAACCCACTGTGCCACCAGGGAGGGCCCGCACTTTGAATTTTTATCATCAACAGTAAGTACTGTCAGTTGTTCTCCTTGAAATGACAGGCTCATTTAATTTTTGTGGTAAATGCGTGAAATATCCAAGTCAGGATACACATCGTTTGTTAGCCTTTCAGACAAAAATAGTTGTTCCTTGGGCAAAGTGTCTTCTGGTAGAAATCATTTTTTTTTTTTAAAGATGGTGAGTTCAGTTTTCAACTCAAACACCCAGCGCTTTTCTCTTGAAATGGCTTAGGAAGTATTTTATGTAAAGTTCATTTTTGTCACAAGTAATATTGATAAGATGATCATTCAGTTGTTGAGATTTAATAAATTTAATTTCTGTTGCTTTACCAATGTCTTTCTTAAGTGAGACTGTCTTCTTCCCTCACCCCTTTTTCTTCTTGTTTTTTAAAATGTGTATTTTGTAGCAGTGACAAAAAATGACTACTGGTAATGTTTGGTGCCACTGCCTTGACTTAGCTAAGGCACTGGTGTTTTTACCCACCCTGCTTTCTCACGATCAGTGCAAATGTTAGCACAGTGAGAAGGACAAATACTACTTTTATTACTCTTATGACAATTGTTTAAATATTAGACATGACAATGGAAGAAATGTTATACCACACAAAAAATTAATAGTTAACATTTGATTGTTTACTGTATTTAGCTAAATATGTATACAAAAAATAAAAACTGGTTGTATCATCATCTCCTTTCTTAACAAGAAAACAGGCACAGAAAGATAAAGCACGCAAATAGTAAATTGTGGAGTGAGGATTTGCAGGTAGGTACTGGTTCCAAAATTCTTAAAATATTTCCTATAGATAAGATCCCAGAGACCCCAACAGATAAGGCAATTATAGCACCACTAAAGGAATGATTATTGACAAGGAAGATATTGAAGAAAATAGTATCTTAAAACTAGGTAATGTAGACCTTGAAAAGCTCAGGCTCCTATTCACTGCAGAGGGAGTAAGTACATTGAAACCTGAGAAAGGCTGCTGGATTTAGGAATTAACAGATCACTGATGTCTTTAAAATGTGCAGTTTAGAAAGTGCTGGGAAATAAAGTTGGAGGTCATTCTATACAACAGAGGATGTGGGCTAAAATGGGTGATGAATTTCTGAAGAAATTGATGAGATTTGGATAAGAAAAATGAAATTGAATTGATTGGTATTGATAAGCGTTAAGTCAGAAAAGAAAAAAAGAGGATTTTTTTTTCCTTTACTTTTTTCCCAAGACTTTCCTGCTATGGATACAGCAATAAAAAATCATCATAAAATTTTCTTCCCTAATGGATCTCCATTGTGGAATTCTTTAGGCGTTGTTACTCCAATCAGCTGGTTTCTGATCGATATGTCATGTCAGATTATTTTATCCAACCGGGACATCTCTGTTGTGTAAGGATTTCCGAGGATAAATGGTGGTATCGAGTCATTATTCATCGAGTCCTTGGGAAACAAGAAGTTGAAGTGTTCTATCCAGACTTTGGAAATATTGGAACTGTTCAGAAGTCCTCCCTGAGGTTCCTCAAGTGAGTTCGCCAATTTAATGAGTGTGGCTTAAGTTTTGATCCCTCTTTCTTCTTAGTGCATACTTGGCAGATTGTCATTTAGTTTCATGACTGTGACAGTAAAGAGGCCATGGTAAGGGTTATATTTATGTAGCATGAAAGTCGAACTATATCTATATATATATTTTTTTTCTTAAAGGATTTATTTATATATGCATCCAAGAATTGGATACAGGCCAGAAGTGCAGTGGTTGGGGTGGTGAGAAGATTCACCAGAGACAAAACAAACAGATCAACTGAAATACCCTGCTAAAGGGAGCAGCGGGCGAGGCAGCAGAGGTCTGCTGCGCAATTTGGGTTATTTCCTTGGCTGGGGATCAAACTTGTGAACTCGTGCTGCAGTGGCTGTGGGTAGCTTCATAGTGCTTCTAGTAAACCCCTGCAACACTAGCAAGGTTCTCTACCTATATTCTAGTTGCGTGGTTCTCAGACTATATATTTTGTAGTTTTATTTCTCAGATTGCTTTAAGAGTGTAAAATATTAGTTAAAATATATGAATAAGATATGGTAGTGTAAATAGCTAAACTCAAAAAATGGGTAAGAGATGCCATAAAATATAATCTTAAAATATGATCAAATACCATGTTTATCTATTGCAGGTGCTGCTACACAAAGCTGCCAGCCCAGGCAATCCCTTGTTCCTTGGCTTGGGTGAGGCCAGTAGAGGTATGTCTTTTTCCCATTTAGTCAGCAAATACCTGATGCTAAGAACAGTGGTTCTGAGGATACAAAAATAAAACATGGAACGAGCCCCAGAGGAATCATTGTAGATAGTATGGAGGATGGACATGCAGTCAAGGATTGTTGCACGGTGTCATGTTTACATAGTAGAGACTTTTACAGACATGGTTAGAGATGCAAAAGGAACAGTGCCCATCTGCATTCAGAGCAGTCAGGAGAGGTCCCCTTATGAGGTAACACTGGAGTACTTAACAAAGATTAGAAATTTCTTCTTTTTGGATGAAAAAGAGAAGAAAGACATTCCATGTAAGGGAAGGGTAGCATTTTGAGTGATTTCTGTTTGGCTACAGAATACTGGGTTAGAGAAACAGAAATCTAAGGTAGAAATCCACATTGAGGAATCCGGGCAGTGAACTTAGATGCTGGGGAGTAGCTAGACGGTGTATAGAGGGAACTGCTACAGTGAAATACTTGGTGTTTATGTACACAGGGGTGCAGGCCAGAGGTGCGGGGCGTGAAAGGATTCACCAGAGGCAGAGTGGGGAGCAGGACAGGCAGATAGAAGAAACACACTGCTGAGGGGAGCAGCGGGTGGGTCAGGAAAGGTCTGCTGCGCCCATTTGGGTCAGTTTGCTGGCTGTGAATGGAGCTCAGGCCACAGTGACTGGCAACAGCTTGACACACTGAGACTTTAGCCCCATCACCACCAGAGAGTCCCAAAATGTTTTTTTTTTTAAGTTAAGGATTCTATGGTAATACTGTTGTGCGAGATAACTGGAGTAAAGAAGGATAGAGAAGGTGTTTTTATCCATATAGGTATTTGTGTTGTTACAATTATGTACCTATTCATATGTTTGGTCCTTCAGAACTCTAAATCATATACATACTTATTATACCATATTTATATGTTTAACCTAAATGAGTTGTCAGTTGCTTACAAATACATGGATTATTCTTTAAAAAATCTTTTTTATCTGAAAAATAAAGAGGAAGAAAGAATTACTTAGAATTCCATCACTTAAATGCATTAGATTTACAAAATCATTCTGTAGAGAAGGAGGAGGGGGAAGTCCCAGGACAGGAACGGGAAGAGCACAAGGGACCATGGTGATGGTGCATGGGGGATCGGTGGTAGGAATTTCATGGGGAAACCAGACATTGTATAAAGATGAAGCTTAATGTGATGATACATGCTTTAGATTTAGAAATTTGGTGTTCTTTCAGTTTATTTTATTGAATGTTGCAGATGAGAGTTTTTCAGAGTAACATAAAAAGTAATATGTTGTGTTCTATTTTTTAACTTATTATCACACCATAAGTACACTTATATATCATAGTTTTCAGTTATCTAGCACTTAAATATTCATTATAGCCTGTTTATTAGATAGTCTGCTTCTAATTTTTTAGTATACTAAGTGTGCTTTTATGCAACTCTGTACTCAGAATTGTTTCCTGAAGTACTTCTAGCCCTGCCTAAGTTTCTCTTTAATACTTTGGTCATCAGGAAGCTCAGGGATAAATTTGTGACCCACCTGTGGCATTATATCAGCCAGATTGCTCCATTTTTGGTTCTCTGTTGTTGTTTTCTTATTTCCTTCCTAAACTGCTTCTCACTGTAGGACTTTTGCCCATTTGGATTACTGGAACAGCTTATTTGACATATGGGGTACATTCCTTGACCAGCCAAGTCAACCATTACTGACTTTGTTTTATCTTTGTAATACTATCTGGTATTAGTTATTTAGAGTGGTATAAGCTTTTGAGATCAGGAACACTGTCTGCTTCTTAACTAAATATAGGGTACCTAGGCACTGAAAAGTGCCTAGATCAGTACTTGATACATGGTAGGTGCTCAATGTTTTTACTAAATGTTATATATCTTTCCGTATCTTTTTTGGTGTCAAAAATAGGTAATGTATTTGGTTATGGCAGAGTAGCATGTTGGACTAATAGGCCCATAGATAAAATCAAAAGCAGGAGTCTACCATTGGAAGTAAATCTGCAATAGCTAAGATTGTAATTTTTCATCATTTTTCCTGAAGTCACCACTCAGTATGTAATGTTCTGGCTTGAAGAGTTAAGTGTGGGCCCTCCCTAGTGGTGCAAGGGGTTAAAGTGCAGCACTATGAAGCTATTGCAGCCACTGCAATATGTGCCCCATCCCCAGTCAGGGAGCTGACCCACATGGCACAGCAGACCTCTCTCCTGACCAGCTCTCTGCTCCTCTCTGTCCCCTCTGCAGTGTCTTTCAGTACATCTGCCTATTTTGCTCCCCACTCTGTCTCTGGTGGGTCCTCTCCACCCCATCCTTCATTTCTGTCCTGTACCTCAATTCTGTATGCACAAATAAATAAATCTTTAGGGGAAAAAAAAAGAGTTAAGCATATATTGTTTGGGGCAGGCCAAACAGTCCCAAGCTAAAGAAGGGGGTGAGATGGAGAGAAGGGTGGGAGCCACAGAATGAGTCTGCCCCCAAATCAGTGTATATAATCATTTCAAATGAATACTACATGGCAAGTAATAAGATGGTAATTCAGATTTTTAGGAAGGAATGAGAGTTATGGGAGTTTGCCCATATATGATTAAAAAAAAAAACTAATATATCCTTTATTTGGTTCTCTGAATTTGTCTTTAAAAGCCTTTAAAGTAAAATTGTGAGTGTAGTTGGAGTTTATAGTATTCATAGAGGTAATATATTTTCTAGAAGTCTTAGGGCTATTTTAAGGTTTAATAATTTAAAAAGTATAAATGCTACAAACTTTAAAATATTTGAAAGCTTAGGATACACTTTTTATAATTTTTTGGTTTTGAGCAACAAGTTTTTGATCTTAAAAGTATTGAAACAAAAAATTGAATCAGTGTTTATTATCTTCTTTAATAGAAGAACTGTTTTCTGTTCCTTCCTGATATTTCTTTGATATACTTTTCAAGAATATGTTAATTTTGTTTAGAATTCAATTCTATTGGTATAAACCAATCATAATATTCCCTTGTCTTTTCAATGTCAGTATCTGCATAGATGTGTCCTATTATAGTCAAAAGAAGATTATTTATATCTTCTCTCTTTTTTATGAGCAAAAGATAGATACTTGCCATTTTAATTAGTTTTCCAAAGAACCAACTGAGGCTTTCTTGATTCTATTATAAGCTTGTTTTTTATATTGTTAGTTTCTTATTTAAATTTTATTATTTCCTCATCTCGCCTCTCTTTGGATTTATTATTCATTCTCCAGCCTCTTGATATAGAAGCTATCTCTTGATGCAAAAATTATTACTAATATTTAGTTTAAATATTTTGTAAATTGCATTTTGTTTTCCTGTTTGACTTATGGATATATAGACACTTAAATTTATAGACATTTTCTGATTTATCCTATTTCTGTTGATTTCTAGTCTAAATGCACTGTGGTTACAAGTCAACCTCTGGATAATACTAACCCATTAAAATATGAGGACCTTCTTTATGGTCCTCTGGCACATGTGCTTGAAAAGTGCATGTTCTCCAGTTGTGTGCAATATTCTGTAAATATTCATAAAGTCATTTTTACTGTGTGAAGTTTTTATTCAAGCTGACTTTTAAGTGCCACGTTTTCTTTCAATTATTGTAAGAAGTCTAGTTTTGCTTACATTTTTGTCTGTTTCTGTATTTTAGTTGGCTTTCATTTTGTATCCACTGAGGCTACTAGCTACATACAATATCAAAATTGATATGTCTTCTTGGAGACTCTGAAGTTAGCTTATGTATTTCTAATAACCTTTTTATTTTGAAACCTGTTTGGGCTGATATTAATATAACTCCATCACATTTCATTAGCTAATGTTTTCCTGGTATTTTTTAATCATTATTTTACTTTCAATCTTCATGTGTCCTTATGTTTAGGATTTGCCTTTTATGAGCTACACATTGCTTTATTTTTCAAAATTCAGGCTGATTTCTTTTAGCTGGAGAGTTTAGTCTACTTATAATAGACTTAAGTAGACTTACAGTAGACTTACAGTATGACTTGGCCTACTTTTTTCTCATCTTTCATGCCTTAAAGAGATCATGTGATTACTATAGGAAAAGCATCATGTATATGTATTTGTAACAATGCAAAGACATTAGAACATTTTAACCTTCTCTTCTATTTTGTTGTAATTAATGTTACTGTTCTTAACCCCTCAAAAAAACTGACCATATAAAATATCACCATCCATTTAGACTTAGTACATTTATTTCAGCTTCTTAACTCTTCATCTGTTCATGCCACTCAAACCCATTTTGACAGTGTTTTCCCTCTGAACTGTTTCTTTAGGATTTGTTTTGTGAGGACTTGCTAATGGCAACCTTTGCTTTTGTTCAATTTTTATATGTTTATGTTGCTTAATGTTCTTCCACTTTTGTGTGTGTTTATCGTATTCTTATATATTTAATGATTCATTGAAAATCTTTTATTTGTGGCATTCACTACAACTTTTCATTAAGTCTGGAAAATTCATATCATTTCTTCAGTTATTGTCTTTTCCCTATATTTATATTAAATACTTTCTGTATCTGTTTCTGGAAGTATGTTCTACTCCTTCAAATTATATTCCATGTCTTTTAACTTCTCCTCTGTATTTACATATTTCTGCCTTAGTATTTTGCATTTTGTGTAGTTTTTCCCCTCAATTATCTTCTGTTCTATCAACTTAATCATTAATTCTACCCAGTCTTCTGCATAATAACATGATAAGGTTTTTTGTTGTGGTTACTGTATTTTGACTTTCTATAGGTTCTCTTGGCTCTGTGCTTCCAATAGATTTCTGCAGAAACTTTCACACAGGTAGTTTTGTTTTTACTATAAGCATAATAAATCTAATTTTATAATTTGTCTAGAGATTTAAATGTCTAAAGTTTTTTAGGGTTTGTTTCAGGTATGTTATTTCTGCTAATTCTTGTGATTGATTGTTTCTCTGTATATGTCTTATCTTCTGTATGTATTGCTAATTGTTTTTGAAAAACGATTTCTAAGAATGACTGAATAACACAGGCTGATTGCCTACTTCCCAGAGGACTTACATTTGTTTTTGCTAGGTACCTAGGAATGTTGTCAATCCAGATCCTTGTTAATTTAAATTAACAACTTGAGCATTTGTATACTGCTCATGTGATATCAAAACTGAAGATAGTTTTCTTTTCTCCCTTGTCCTGAACGTGTAGCCCCCCAGAGAGCCAGCTGATGAAGGAAAGTTCTCTCTACTCCATTCTGCGAGGTGGACACTGGCTTTGATTTCTTGTCCTCTTCACCCTGGGAGACTATAACAAAAAGTAAAGTTTGGTTCTGCCTGAATTAGAAAAAGTAGTTCCTATTTTCCCTTTAATTAACTATTTGTCAGCTCTTTGATGCCTCATGGACATATTTTTAAAATATTTTACCTAGAAGTTTTAGTTGTTTCTATGAAAAGGCTGGTCTAATAATCTAGTTCACCACTTCTGAAAAGGAACATTTTCATCACACAAGTAATAGGTTTTTCCATAGTCACATATTTCATCATTTTTCTTTTATTCTGACTTTTCTCATCCCCAAATCATAACAATTCTGCAATGTGTTATTTTATTACCTGTCTGGCTTTATTTTTCCACTTAAATCTCTAGTTCAGCAGAATTCATTTTTACATATAGTTAATGTAATTTCTGTTTAAATTTATCTTATAAGTCTAATATTTTGATTATATTTCAGGAACACTGGACGTCGAAAGCTGTTTTACAGTTCCAGAAGTTGTGTGGTTTGAAGCCACTAGTCGGGGTAGTGGATGAATATGTAGATGAGATCCTTAACATTTTTCTGTGTGACACATCCTCAAATGAAGACATTTATTTCCATCATGTCTTGAGAGCAGAGGGCCATGCTATCGTATGCCGAGAAAATGTCCCTTCTAAGGTGGAGCAGTCTGGATGTGTTTTGTAATATATTTTATTTAATGTCAACACATCAAGATATAAGAGAATTTGTTATAGAAGGTTATTTGACTTACTCTTTAATATTTGAGACATCTGTGAGATTCCTTGCAGAACACTATTTTTGAATAGCCACAAAAAACATTTGGCCTATTGTCTTTTGAATATGAATGCTTTCATTTTAAGTAATTAAAAATTTTCTCTTACCCCAAAGTATTTAGTTCTCTGAGTTCTTAGAGAACACTCCCTTATTTTTCAGTTAACCGATAGTGATGCCTACCTATACCACTGGTTAGTATTGATGCCAGTAGCTTTTCTAAGTAGGGAAAGCTGTTGACATTGAAAAGTTTTTTAAATTTTAGATGAAAATGCATTTCCACAACATTTGAAAACCCTGAAATGGTAATGTTTTATCTCTTAATTATGTGATTAAACACCATCTCCCTCTTTTTCTAATCCTAGGGTTTCAGAGAACTCAATCCCTTAGCTTTGTACACTAAATCCAGCGTGGGGCAAGAGGACATTATCTTGACAGAACTGGGTTATCCATCTCAGCAGCATTATTTTAATGAAGATCGAGAAATAAGTCCACAATCAAAAGAGAGTGAATTATATAATCAGGTAGGAGGCTTTTGTAAATATTAGAACTTTAAAACTTATTGTTAACATTTGAGTTTTGAGTCCTGTGTGCCAAACACTACAAAAAGTCCTTTAAGTATGAGACATTATGTAGTCCTCATCAAATCCCTGTTACTTTAATTATCCTTGTTTTTCAGATGAGGAAACGGGTCTTTCCAGACCTAGGAAAGTTTAAGACTTTGCACAATGATCTGAACAGCTGTCTCACTTTTCATTATTAACTGGCTTAAATGTTTGCTTCAGCTATGCTTCTTTCAGTGTGATTTCTCTCATACATTAAGTTTCATTGCTGCCTTGATACAGTTGTGGCTTTACCAATTCAAGTATTGTTCTTCTCTTTACAATCCTCAGGTTATTCAAAGTGCTCACTCTTGATTCCTCTGTAGTTAACCACTCACAGTAATAACATTGTCATCTTCATCATCATTATATTATTCCAACTCATAAGTGTAATAATGATAACATCAACATTTTTTTAACGTGTTTTTTAAAGATTTATTTATTTATTCACACAGAACTGGGGTATAGGCCAGAGGTGCAGGGACGGTGAGAGGATTCACCAGAGACAGAGTGGGGAGCTGAACAGGCAGACTAACAGAGTACGCTGCTAAGGGGAGCAGTGGGTGCGCCAGGAGAGATCTGCCACGCCATGTGGGTCACCTCTAGGGGGATCAAACTCATGCTGAAGTGGTTTTAGCTTCTTAGTGCTGTGCTTTTAGCCCGCTGTGCCACCAGGGAGGGTCTCATTTTTTAACACAGAATTCAACCTTAAAATTCGTAAATAGCCTATCATCATTTCATAGAGATCTTCAAATAATCATAGTCTTAGAAATGAAGTAAAGCCATCTTTTCTATGAAGAATAGACTTAAAGCTTCCCTATCCCTTCCCTGTCTACATTGTAAGCTAGTGAGACTCCCATGTGCCACCCACACATACATCTACACATGTAGTAGTTCCCTATAATTCCTGCTCCCCTTTAAAGCATCCTAACACTTTATCTTCTCAGCCGCCTTCTCCTCCAGTAGTATTTTGGTTGTATCTCTGTGATGACTTTCTGAGGAAGGTCATTATCTGATTGTGTGTCTTCTTGGTATATTTTCAGTTCCTTAGAATTGGGACCTGTATGATTCATCTTTGAGTCCATAGAACTACCCTGTTTATAACTCATAATCAGTGCTTAATAAATCTTGTGCTGTTGGAGGGGAAGCTCTCAGGTCCTGGATGATGTTAGAGAATAATGTAGCATTTGTATAAATCATAGCAAGAAATCCCCCCTCACAGAAATTATAGACATGTAGATTTTGAAAACATCAGTATAGAAAGTAATTTATCTGTCATATTCTACTAGCAAGATATTAATGATGAAAAGAGTCTAATTTACCTTAAATTTGTGTCAAAGGTGCCATTAAAGGATTGTGAACTCAGTTCTTTGAAAACACAAGATAAAAGCTGTGAAGATTCAGAGTTGTCTAGTCCAGAGCCAAAGGATCTGAAGGAAGAAAATGAGGTAATGTAAAATGTTATAGTTAACTCATAAATGAAGGAGCTTAAAAAAGTAATTCTGAACACCCTAATATTCTCAGTGCCTTTGGAGTACCTCCTCCAGATAAATTACAGATTGCTTCCTAACAATTACTAAGACCAAAGTCATAGCAGTGTAGTCTCTATCACAAAGAAGAAAAGGCTTTATCAGATTTTGATGTATTAGTTACTACTCCACAGCTTTGGGCATTCTTCAGTAATTAGGCAGTAATGAGAAATTAATATTGACAAATAACACTAGGGAAAGTCTAACAACAGAGAAAAATATTTACAAACATTTTACAGGATAAAATTTATTTAAATGTTGGGCCCTCACTGGTGGTTCAAAAGGTTAAGGCAGAGCACTATGAAGTTGCCACAGCCACTGCAGCACGAGTTCTATCCTCGACCAGGGAGGTGACCCACATGGCACTGGTGACCTCTCCTGACCTGCCTGCTGTTTCCTCAGCAGTGTATTTCGTCAGTCTGCCTGTTCTGCTCCCCAATCTGGTGAATCCTCATCCCCCTCACCTCTGGACCATAGCCCAGTTCTTGTATGCATAAATGAATAACTTTTTTTAAAAATTCATTTAAATGTTTACATACACACAGCTGAAAGGCTGTGATCCCCTCCTCTACTTTTCTTTTTTCACAGAGCAACCATTTTCATCCAGCTTTCCTTCTTCATTAAATAGCATATTTACATTTTCATTTCTTGATTTTTCAGTTTTACAGTAAACAGTGATTTCCCACTAGCAAAAATAAGGGTTTAGTTCTCTTTCATCCCTTTACACCCACTACACACATTTCTGTCACTTCCTCCACCCTCTTACTAATATAGTTATATCAAACGGCCCCATTCACTACGTTCTTAAATCCCATAAATTCTACTCATAGCCAAGTAGTGGATTATGAAAACTTTTCCTTTCCTGCATGGCTTTTATTTTTTCTAGCATTAATATTTCTTTGCTTTTAAGCATCACTGAATTTCTTTGGGTGTACTATCTTATTGGTTTTAAGACATGTAGATTTGTATCATCACCTCTACAAGCAGATTGGTTCTGACACCTGAAAAATGTCCTTAGGCCAATCCCTTTGTAGTCATGTTCCGGTTATACCACTCACCCCTGGCAAACACTCGTCTGTTGCTGTTGCTTTTTTAATCTCTACAATTTTAATCTTTTCAGCACTGTCTTATTGGTGGGACCATACACTATGTAGCTTTGAGACTGCTTTGAGACTGGCTTCTTTCTTTCAGCATAGTACCTTAGTGATTCACTTGGGGTGTTCCCAGTTGTTGATGATTATGAGAAGAGCTGTTATCAATATTTGTCTATAGGTTCTTGTATGAACAGAAGCAGGAGTGATATTACAGGGCGATGTGATAAGTGTGTATGTCAAACCGTTTCCAGAGCGGTTGTACCGCTCCACCATCAGTGTATGACTTCCATTTGGTCCATATCCTTGTCAACACTTGGTACTGTTAGTAAATTTTATTTTTAATCATTCTAGTAGGTGTGTAGTTAGGTGGCAGCAAAATAATTTTGCATTTCCCTAATAATTATTGATGTTGAAAATGACTTCTTGTGCTTAATTGTCATTCACACTTGTCTCCTCAGGCCTTTTACCCTTATTGATTATTTTCTTCATTGGTTGCTTTCTTGAGTTTTGAAAATTTTTTATGTATTCTGTATACTAGTCCTTTGTCAAATATGTGATTTTTTTAAAATAAAATTTTATTGATTTATAGACTGTAATTTTGGAGAATAGTGTCACACCTCATTTCACCCATCCTCAAAGCTAGTGACCTTTACACTATCAGATTGACCCTTTTGACCTTTCTCCTCCTTCCCTTATAACCATCATATTTTTCAGAGTCTAAGAGTTATTTCTGTTGTGATTTGCTAATTTTTTGTTTTGGTTACTTATATTCCATTCATGAGAGAGGTCATCCAGCAATTATATTTCCCTTTTCTCTTACTTGTCAAATGCTTTTTCAGCATCTATTCATATGATTATGTGATTTTTATCTTTTGTATTGTTGGTGTGTACTACATTACATTAATAAGTTTCAGCAATATATATTGATATATGTGTTCAACCATCTTTATATCCCTATGATGTCCCACTTAGTGATGATGAATTATTTTTTTTCTTGGTAAACCTGGCTAAGAGTTTATCAATTTCATTTATCCTTTTAAAGAAAGGATTTATGGTTTCATAGATATTTTGTCTTTTTGGTTTTTATTTAGTTTATTTCCACTCTGATTACTTCCTTACTTTTAATTACATTTATTTTTCCTCTACTAGTTCATTCAAATGTCACATTAGACTGTTTGAGACTTTCCTTATTTATGTCTGCCTGTATTACTAGGAAATTTCCTTTTAATACCATTTCTGCTGTATCTCATTGAAAAGCTTGTGTTTTCATTTTCTTTAGTCTTCAAGTAATTTTTTATTTCTCTTTTAATTCCGTATGACTCAGGAGCTAATCAGCTCTTAATTAGTCTTCACATGTTCAGCACATATGTATTAATTGTAGTTGTATCTTCTTGATGGATTGACCTTTTGGTTATTATGTGGTATCATCTTCATCTATTTCCTTTTCTAATTGCAAGTCAGTAATTTGGGTCTCTCTGGTGGCTGAAAGGTTAAATCTTACTGCCATTACTACTACAGCCTCAGTTCAATCCCTGGTTAGGGAGCTGACCCACATGGTACAGTAGACCTCTCCTGACTTGCCCGCTGCTCCCCTCAGCAGTGTATTTCAGTGGATCTGCCTGTTCTGATCCACTTGTCTCTGGTGAATCTTCTCACCCTTTCTCCCCCACTTCTCTGGCCACACCCAGTTCTTATACACACACACACACACACACACACACACACGTCAGTAATTTATCAGAAATGAAGATACCAGTTCTTGTCTTTTTTTCAATGTTGTCTTTAAATCTGATGTGTAACTATTGAATGCATAATATAGATGGATCATACTTGTTGGTATATCTAGTCACTTTGTGTCTTTGAGCTAGACTACTCACATTTGGGGTAATTATTGATATATGGGGTTTCATCACTAATATCCTATCCTCTGTTTTCTGGTTGCTTTGTATTTCAGTTGTTTCTTCCCCATGTATTTCTATCTACCTTTTCACCTAAGTGTCTCTGCTCCAGACTTTTGTTTGGTGGCTACCAGAGGGCTGTATTGAACTTTCTGTGTCTGTGAAACATCCTATTTCTGTGAAAGTAGCCCTTTTTCCAGGCTGGTTTGAGTCATTAATATTTCACTTTAGAAATTCTGTCATTTTGTTCTTTCCCCAATTAATGTTTTGTTACTGTCTCATATGACTTCTTTTTGTTTCCAGTTCTATAAATCTATCTTATCACCTTGCTCAAAGATTATGTTTTTGTTTTTTTCTTTTTCAGTATAAGAACTCCAAACAGTATTTCTAGGGCAGGTATGGTGATTATGAACTCCATTAGTATTTGCCTGAGAAAACCTTTATTTGACCATCATATTTGAATGATAATTCTGGGGGGTTGAAATTCTCAAACTTCATTGAGTTTCTTCATGATAGCTCTCCTAAATTCTTGTCTGTCAGGTTTTTAATTTGTCTCATTAAGTTTGGTCTCTGGAGCCTTATCTTTCTTCAAACCTTGCAGACCAAGTTCCTCAGTTTTTGTAGTATTCATGCGACATGTTCTTGTTTTCTCCACTGCATGGTCAGGACCCCACTTTGTCTGCTTTTCTCTATCCAGCATGTACCTGGTGTTTTCTCCTCTTCTGTTCTCTGAGACCATGAGTTTATAACTTATGTCTCTTCATTTTATTTTGGTGGCATATCAGGAGGAGAAAGTAATCAACTGTGTGTTCAAACTGCCATTTTTATCTGGAATCAGAAAAAAATTGTAAGACTGAATATAAAAGTTGTTCATACAGAAAGGTTAAAGTTTTTATTTGTCTTCTGATACATTCTAGGATGAGATCCCCACTGGAATGCCTTGCCTGGAGTCAGTCACTATAGGTGATGATATTTGGGATGAGAACTGGTTACCTTTGCAGGCTAAAATGGGAAATGGAGGAGATGCTGCCACACATTTGTTTACTTCTAGCCTTGGTGGAAAAAAACAGTATCCAACATGTAAAGAAATGCCACAGAAGGTTAGTTCCTTGGAAAAACAGAAAGTAAATCACTGCTGAATTTAATTGTCTAAGCCTCAAGAAAGCTATGCATTCTGAAATTCAGAAGGATTTATCAGACAGTAATTCAGAAGAATACATGTTTGTATTTTAGAAGATGGTTGTGGTAGGGAACAGGATGAAGCAGAGAATGGGCTTGTGCCTGCCTGCTACCTTCCTTCCAATCATAATTTTGTTTTCTCATTCACATAATGCAAATTTATTTAGGAAAAACTTCTCTATAATTGCTATTTTAAGATTAATTTTAATGTAAAATGCCTACAGATTTAGCTCAGTTTCTATGAACATGTCCAAACCCTCAATATTGTGACTTAAAATGTTGACAACCAATCATGTTTTTTGTTTTTTGCTGGCACCTAGTCAATGTGTTGGAATTTATAAATAAACTGCTTGCCCTAATTATATTTTTATTTTAATTAACCTTGTCATAGAACTTCTGGATCTCTGCAGTGAGAATATTTGCTAATATTGGGAGTTTAACTATATATTTAAAACTTAATTTCCTTTCTGATAACATAAGAAGAAATATCTGCAGTTAAGTTGCTCCTTAGTGTTTGTGCCCTTTAAAGACTAGGTGATTTGGTATTAAGGAAAAATACTATAAACAGAGGTGTTTTATTTTCATTCTGTGTGTTCAACAGAATTAAAGATAGTGGGTATGGAACAGTTAAGCAAGAGAGAAGTCACACTGATGAAGTAATTTAATACATGCCTTCACTTGTTTAATATACTTTGCGTTCTTGCCTTTACTTTGCCCAAGTTCTCCTGTTTGGGTCATGTAGCTTCTAGTTCAGCTTACTGTTGCCATTTTTTTGTCTGTAGGATTGGTGTTTCTCTACACCCAAAGATGTTTGGGATGATTCATGGCAGCCTTCAGGCCTGGCAAATGGAATGAAAGTAGAAGTTCAAAAACCTGAAGGAGAGGGGGCTCAGGAAAATAATACTGGCACACCGGGGATCCCCAAGGTAAATGTCTAATGAATGTTTGGTGATGGGTACTTATATGAGGAAGTGCTTTCATTTTTAGAAAGTAAAACTCTGGTTAATGATCCCTCTTTGCAATTCTACCTACGTAGAAGAAAATCCTGAACCTGGAATTTAAAGATCAATTAAACTTGTATGTTGGAGCTAAAGAAACAGATGTTTTCATGAACTTCGTCATACATTTTAAACACCATGTCTACCCTGTCGGCTAGACTAATTTTATGTTGTCTTTGGCAGAAACCACTAAGCCTGGAACAGACCTGTTTATTTTGTGTTTCTCAAATATGTTATGAGCATCTTGAAAATAGCAGGGCAGTTTGTGTAAATAATAAAAAATATGGCTCTTTTGTGTGTGAAATGGAAGATAAAAGGCTTGAAGTCTATACTTGCTGTAAAGCAGATTTGCAGAAGATAAATCTTCTGAGTATATATTTTCTATAGAATTGGTTGCTTTGTATGACAGCAATGATAAAATATTTTGTATTACACAGAACAGTCTATTCCAGAAACATAGGTTGCTTAAGAGCACAGGTTAATTTAGTATAAAAAGTCATATATTTTGTTTTTCACATGATTTTTAAAAATTTAAATATAATTCACATGCCATATCATTCATTTAAAGTGCACAATTTAGACTATCTTTAGTATACATAGATTTGTGAAACTACTACTTCAGTCCATTTCAGAACATTTTCATAACCCTTCCCCCCGAAAGTGTAACCTGTGCCAGTTAATAGCACCCATTTCATACTCCTGCCCCATCTTCCCTCAGCCCTAGGTCAATGCTAATCTGCCTTTTGTCTCTCTATTATGGACAGTTCATACACATGTCACACAGTATGTGGTCATTAGTGAATGTTATTTCCTTTACTGTGCAGATTTTTAGTTCATGTAATCTCACTTGTTATTTGTGCTTTTGTTGCCTGTTTGGTGTCATGTTTGAGAAATCATTTCCACAACCAATCTCCTGAAATTTTTTCCCTCTTTTTTTTTTCTAAGAGTGTTAACAGTTTCAAGTCTTATATTTAAGTGTTTAGTCTGTTTTGGTCTTTTTGTCTGCAGGTTAAAGAAAGGGTCTAATTTCAATCTTTCACATGTGGATATCCAGTTTTCCCAGCATCATTTATTGAAGTCATTGTCACCATTGCATATTCTAAGTGTTCTTAACATAGATCAGTTGACATTTTGAAATCAGGAAGTGGGATGCTTTCATTATTTTTTTTTTCCTTTGAAAAATTGTTTGACTACTTGGAGTCCTTTGTTGTTACATATGAATTTTAGGGTTGTTTTCTTTAAAAAGGGGCCATTGAGATTTTGGTAGGGATTACATTGACTCTATAAATCAGTTTGGATAGTGCGGAAATTACAAAATACATTCTTCTAATTTATAAACATGGAATGTTTTTCCATTTATCTGAGACTTCAGTTTCTTTCATTAGCATCTATAATTTTCAGTATATAAATATTTTACTTCCTTATTAAGTTTTTCCTAGGTATTCTTTTTGGGGCAGTTATAAATAGGATTATTTCTTAACAAAATAAGGTTACATGCGTAACCATTTGTATATTACATAATTATATAACCATATTCACACCAGGCATGTTTGAAATTGAGCAAGATATTTTGTCAAAGAGAAACACATGACTGAGATTAAATGTCTGCTGCAGCACGAGCCTAAAGAACATTCAAAGCACTACACTTTTGGTTTGTATGATTCTTGATTCAGTTTGTTCAGCTAGGTAAATCCCCAGCGCTATGCCTCTGAGGTCCATTTGTTTCAGCCTTGTTCTGGTGTGATTACTGACAGTTAACCTCACCGAAGATAAATGTTGCTAAGTTGCTGTCACTATAGTTCAGCAATGCCTGAATAGCAATAGTAGGATATAGAATCTGATGGTTAAAAGTTGGCACTCCATTATTTAGCCCAAATTCAGTCTCTGGGACATTTATGTCTCTCTTAATACTTGGTTTTGTCACATCCTCTGAGGAGTCTTCCCGGATCCTTGATGTTCTCCTAGCATGTTGTCCACACTGCAGAGTGTAATTTACACTGCCCTTCCTGGCCAGCTGTGACACATAGTTTCCCACACTGAGGACCATGAGCTTCCTGTGGACAGGGATTATATCCTCCTGGGAAGTGATTTGATGGAGCATGGAGGACATAGGCTGAGAGCCTGCCACTCATGTGCTGATTGACTTTGGACAGCTGACTTAGCCCTCTACAAAAGCTAAGTGACAGGAGCCATAACAAAGAAGATGTGATAGCATCTAACCGAGGACAGTTGTTCTGTGTTTATAGATACAAATGAGTGAGCCCTGCAAGGTGCTGGTGAATGTCACTGCTCTCATCTCCTGCCAGTCTTCCTGAGCTGTTTGTTGGCAGTATTTGCTGGCAGCTCAGGACCATATTACATGTAATCAATAAATGTTTGTATAATGGATGTTCTCTCTTTGAGAGAGAGTAGGTTCTTAACAGTGAGAAGTTTTATTTACTAATTATGATATGAAAAATATTTGTTGTTTGTAAAATCAACAACTATAAACCAGAGACAGTCTATGGCGGTGGAGAGGGAAATAGGATCAAAATTGGAGCGGGAAGAACACACGGAACTGTGGTGATGACACGTGGGTGAGGTGGTGGTGGGAAGTCCATGAATTACAACCAAGATGAAAAAATGTACAAAATGAAGAATGATGTAAAATAAATAAATAAATAAAAATATTTTTAAAAAGAAAAATATTTGTCATTTGTTCATAAGGAAACAAAGCGGGCTTCATTCTTCTGTTATACTGATAGTTACTTTTCATGCTTTTGCCTCATTTTCCCACTCTGTAGCAACCAAACTTAAAGGGTTCTTCAGATTTTTCCACATTACCCACATTGGAAGAGTTCTATGTCTCTCTTACCCAGTCACAGCCATTGGCAGAAGAGAACCACTTTGAGCCTGGTGATGTTCAGACTTCACCAAAGCAAATTCAGCTCTCCGCTACCGCACTCACTTCAACACCTGCAACGGCCGATTCCCCTGAAAAAAGCTGTGGCTCAGGTGGGTTTACATAGTAGTTGACAAATATAGTGGTTTGCCATGTTGCTAAAAGTCTTCACTGGATTTTTTTTTTCCAGAACAAAGCATAAAAAATTGCTGACTTGAGCATTTGTCTCTTGTTCTCTCTTCTTAGTTAAAACTCGTAAGGAATTAATTTTGTGATTGATTACTGATTTCTGGAGTTTAGTAATCATAGACTTGATGAGTTTAGTCTTTACACTGGCACAGACTTGTAATTGGAAGCATGTTGGCAAAAGAGAATCTCCATGGGCACCATTTTGCTTATTGCTGGAACGAAATGTGGTGTGGTGGATTCAGGACTCTTCTGGAATTAGACTATATCCAGTTTATTTTTATATCCTAGAAACAGATCTTCCCTCCCCTGATCAAAAGTGCACTTTTCCTTCTTCCCTACCCTGTCATGATCATATTTTATTGATACTAGTACATGATTCCCCATCCTCATTTTTCTTTCCATTATTGACTGGTGTCTGAGACTGATCCTCTGATTTCTTAACTGTCACCACCTAACAGAAGATGATTATTACACATTAGTAAAAGCTCTGCAGTGGGGGTGAGAAGGCGGTGAGTGGGAGACAAGACTCGACAAGACTTGGGTCTGTTTTTTTTTTTTGTTTTTCAGTGGAGAGCTCCCCAGAGAGCCTGAAGAATGAAGATTTTTCTAACAGTCATGCTATTACAGTGTTCAAAGGCACGAGTAATGAAACCATGGACCAGCTCTCCTTGATTTTGTCACCTGAGCACCAGCTTTCACAGAAGCTCTACATTCCTCGAAGCACGGCCACTGCTGCTCTAGGGGCTGCGGCGAGGTTAGCCACCTCCAGGAGCCTCCTACACTGGTGCCCCAGTGTGAGAAGGATGGAAGCCTGAGGGGGGGGGGGATACATAAGCCCACTGCTTAGGGTTTTGGTGACTTCCCAGGCCAAAATAAGGGGAAGGTATTGAGACCAACTAGTATGTCCACACTGGTGTCTTTGTCTCTCTGTGTGACTGTACATGAGCTTTATTATGCTAACCGTTCTCTTTGTTGTGTTAGGTGTTTTTGTTAATTTTCATTTTCATTGACTACAATTCTTACTCTGTAGAGTTTTGCTAACTTTTGTGTAATGTGGTTTAAAAGAGTTCTTAGTTTTTAGTTTTTGTGTTGATGATTTTTTTTGCTTGGACATATCATGGCTGATAAATGTGAACCAAAAAACCATTTTGTGATCCATACTTAGTAAGACAAAACTTATCTTGCATCCCTATCTCCAGATTAAAGGCTGCCTGCATTTTACAGCTCTTTTTTTTTTTCCTATCTCATTTAAAATCTTCTATACACAGTTCCAGGAGCCTTAATGTAGCAGTATTTCAGCAGTTTAAGATCCTCTCTGAAATCAAACTTTGTGAAATATTGTGATAGTCTGTTGAACCTGCAGTATAAACTCATGAAGAGAAAAGATTGAAAGGTGAAATCAAGGAATGTGAGCAAGACCTATTTCTTTGTGGTAAAATACCAGACTTGACCTCCAAATTAAAAACTGCAGTGTGAGCATTTCTTTGAGGTAAAATCGGAGAAAGATGTGCATGACTGCCATGTTGCATGCAGCTAGGTTCTCCCTGTCCTAGCCCATCCTCAAATAGCCTCCCTTTGGGCATTCACAGATACAGCCGACTCCTACTTCTGTTCTTTCTACAATAAGGAATTTCAGCTCTTCTCAACTACTTAGCAAAATCGAGTGAGTGAGATGTGAGCATCTCTAAATAACATAAAGGTAGCTTTATCTGTTATATATATGTGTACCTTTACCTTGAAATCATGAAACAAAGATAAATCCAACATTTCTAAATACTGACAATTTTTGGTTAAAAACATACTTAATGCAATAAAAATGTAAAATTCAGATTCCTCTTTAATTCCCATACACCTATAAAAATGATGATACACTAACTGGCATACACACACACACACACACACACACACACACACGTATATATATATAAATCTGGAAACATCATTAAGAAATGACCCAACAGAAAGAACAATTTCTCATTTGGGTTTTTGTGAGTAATGTCAGATACCTTAAAGAAGACAGATGATGAAGAGTTATGTGGAGGGTCAATAAACAGTTAAATATCATATGACAGTTCTGTGTCACATGTGATACTCAACTGTAATATGAACTAAAAATCTTTTTTATATAGTAGATAATTGTACACAATTTGCTTCTAAAGAGGAAAATATATTTGGAATGCTGCTGCTTAGAGTCTTCCTTTAAAGAAGAAACCAAATTTGAGGAATAACGTACTGCATTTGTCCAGATGGTAGTCGCTGGCCTTAGGTGAATCTGGCAGAAGCAATATGTCATAAATGGAAGAGTTGATGGAAGGGCATACTTAGTGTAGGTTAAACTGTAACCCTCTTTATACGTTGGCACTAAAATGCCAGGACAAACTCTGCCACGATTGGGTAGCCTGACAGTGACAAATTTTACACTTTACAAAGTTGAATGCAGATTGTAAAATCACCATTTTAAGGCCTTTTCAGAATCCTTCCAATTTGCAAATGGCCAGATAATTATTTAGACAGAGCTATCTCAGACTGGTAAATGTTAACATACATTGAAAGACTTCTTTAGCTATAAATAGTTAGTGAAGTGTAAATGGGCCTTAGGCTTGTACAGTGTGACTCCTTGACTTTGACTAGAAAGGCCAATCTTCCGACCCTTTATCTCCCTCTAAATGGTACGCTTTATTAGACAGTTAATTGAAATGTAGTTCAAAACACCAAACAAGTTGAGTAGATAATTTGAAAATGATAGCTGAATAGGTTGCTATATTTTGGCAGGACCTATAGTGAGAAGAGTTTACAATTTATGTAGATAGGGTCAGAGTTAAATTAATTACACTTTGTGAAAAGATGGCTTGCCATCTACCAAGAACAGCCTCCCTCCTCACATTTTTGGTCTTAAGGATCTATTAGGAGGAATGGAGTTCCCCAAGAAATACTAAGAAGTGGGGCCTGAAGTGTGTGAGGGAATGGAGGAAAGAATATATGGGAAAGCCTAGTTATAAACGCCTTAGGGATGGATGGGGATGTGGCTTTACTGATAACTGTTGAAATTATGACTCCAAGGGCTTGTGGTCAGTGTCCCTCTCCCATAGTAGGATATCACAGGGCATCAAAAGGGACCCTTCTAGCTGCAGTTAGCCATGCCTTCACCCCCTCCCCCACATCCCCAACTCACACATTTAAGATGCTAGTTGCCTGTTTCAGTGCTTTAGGGATAACTAGTAGCTTCTGTCTGCATTCACACTAGTGACAGCCTAGTGACAGAAGTACAGAATTTTGACCTAGACGGATGTTAGACAAGGAAATTTGAAGTCTAGAAAACCAATTTGTCTGTGGTCACGCAGCTTATATTTCCGTATCTGCTGACTCCACTATTTCCATAAGGAAATGTCACAACTTTGTCCTGTGTAGTTTAAATGATTTGATCAGGCAGAAGACAGGTTTGAAAAACATTGTTAAGTTTTAATAGCTGACTGAATCCCTCAGGTGCTAGAAGGGGAAGGGATTGGTTTACAGAGATCTTGGATTTTTGAATGTGGGTAGTTTAAATAACAATGGGCCAGTCCCACAGGTGAAAATCTGAAAGGGGATATTCCTAAGGGATGAGAAACCAACATCCTACCAAGCAATCTTCCTGAAGTTCCCTGCTAACAGTTATACTACATGGCACAGCTTTTCTGACAAACATATCTTTACAGAATTCAATTCATCTTATTTATTATATATACAGTGTTGTGGGCAGCATTATTCATAGATTTGCAGGAGCCATCGCCAAAACATTGGAAAGATTTCATCTCCCTTGCCCTTTTCAGCCCTTGACTCTTTCCTAGATGCCACCAAGGCATGGCTCCTACATCTGTCTGTGAACTTTGACCTTTGCCCTGTTCCTAACAGATGTCAGTTGTCTCATTCAGTCACTCACCAGCCAACTTAATAAGGTTTGGTGTCTTTGGCCCAGAATACTTTTGATTCTGTTCTTTTTAACCATGTGACAGAAATTTTAACTTCTCAGTCAAGGACACCTCTAATACTTAAATCATAATTTGTGTGCCACTTTTCACATGAAATCAACCTGCCCCAAAACTGAGTATAGGAAATTTATTCACAACTGACTTGTCTTGGTTATTAAGATACATTTCAAAAAGTACTTTTACGCTTTTTGTTTGTATAAACTTTGTTTTATATTTGTTAAAATTTTTAAATGTTTTTTTAATTAATATGAAAAATGGTTATAGGAAACAATGTTTACTTGGTTATTACATCTTGGTGCCATTTAGATAAATAATTTGTGAGGAAACTGAATTTATGACTACCTCTGTTCTCTAAACTTGTTACCAAACTAACAGGAAGTTGTTGGGATGAAGGGATTATGATTAGCCTGATCTTTGGAGTTTGTAACTGCATTTTGTTTGGTTTATCTTAGTATTTGTGAAGTTGGAATTCCTTTTGTAAAAATGTCTAGGGGGATTTTTTGTTACTAGTTTTGTGATAATTCTGCAGAAATGAAAACTTCACTTAAATGTGTGACCCTAAAGCATTTAATTGAGTAAAATACAGAATTTCCTTGTGCAGTTGTAAAAATAGAGACTTGACACTCTTCTTGACTAAGCCATTTGTCTTCATTTTTTTACATGACTTCTTTATTTTTAAAGCACTTAGGCCTTTGTAAACCTTAGCTGTTTTGCATAGAAATACTTGCATTCCACGAAACTGGAAGTTTATTCACACTGGAGTGATTTAAGTTCTACAGCCACACTTCAAAGATTTGTTTATTGCAACATGTCAGACCCTTCTAAACCTCTTCCAGTTTCTTAAATTCCAACAGGGAGCCAGTGTTGTATCTCCTTTTGCTGATTGGTTGTAAACACGAACAGTAATCTGTTTATCTCGATTTGGCAAGCTTGGTGTATTATGAAATGTAGTCATAATATGTATGTATTCATTAATGATGTGTTAAACTGAATTTCCTGCTACCTTTGGGAGGAGTCTGTAGGACTGATACGGTCACCTTGTGTCACAAAGTGCATGGTTTATGGGGAATGCATAAATCTAGCCAGATTTGGGTTTTCAGGAACAGATGGTTAAGTAAGATCCCAAGGGTGAAAATAGGACATGAAAATTTTAACTTGGGGATTGTAAACCCAGAGTTTCCTTACCTGAATTCCCTACTCACCATCATTTTGATAAAGGGGATAGTTCCACAGAGCTGGATTTTTTCCAAGTTTTGTTCTTTGGAGATTGGATTTTGCTTCTCCTCACTGCTAGGTGGCGCTCTAGGACAGGTGTTCTGGTGCCAAGCCTGGTGCTAAAAAATCCTTTCCTTGAATATCCTTTGTTCAAGGTACTGCGGACTTCTAGAGTTGGAAATGGAACTTGATGCTCACGTGGTTCAACTTCTTGGGGGAAGAATATGACAGTGAGTTGCTGGGGAAGTAATCGGTAATTAGTCTTTCTCATTCTGCGCTCAGAGCCAACAGGAAGCTGCCAGAGCCCTCCCTCTTACAGAACTTAGCCTTGATGCTGTGTCTGACTTTACTCCTTCAGGGCAGTGGGGAAACACTAACAGGCTGTATATATTTGGAAACTACAAATAACTAATTTTGCCTCAAACTAAGAAAAAAAGATCACCTTGCCATCATTATTTTGGACTTTCAGGTATGTTTTCATCTCCTTTATAAATATCTGTTTAGTAAAAAGTACATGGTTCCTTCAATTTAATTATTTTGAGTCTTTGAAAGAATTTTAGAATTCTTAATTAGAACATTAATTCTGTGTATGTTTTTCAGGGGAAGGTCTGTAACTTCCTTGGATTCTCAAA